TATGATGTCAGTTAGTTCCAGTATTTCTCTGCTTAGTTTTTGTCTGGGTGACCTGTGTATTTTTGAGAGTAGGGTACTGAATCACCCACTATCGGTGTTTGAGGGTCAATACGTGATCTAGGCTGTAGTAGTGTTTCTTTTGTGAACTTGGGTGCCCTTGTGTTTGGTGCAAAGATGTTAAGAATTGCAATGTCCTCTTGGTGGACTTTTCCTTTGATGAGTGTGTAGTGTCCTTCCCTATTCTTTCTGATTAGTTTTGGTTTGAAGCCCTGTTTTGTTATATACTAAAATGGCTATGCCAGCTTGCTTCTTAGGTCCATTTGCTTTGAATATCTCTTTCCATCCTTTTACCCTGAGGTGATGTCTATCCTCAATATTGAAGTGTGTTTCTTGGATGTAGCAGAAAGATGGACCCTCTTTTCACATCCATTCTGTTAGTATGTGTCTTTTTACTGGGGAATTGAAATCATTTTAATGTTCAGAAATATCAATGAGCAGTGATTGATGATTCCTGTTTTGTTTCCTGTTATTGGGATTATTTATTCTGTATTCTTGGATGTAGTTTATCTCTTTAGGTTGGCATTTTCTTTCTAGCACCTTCTGTAGGGTTGGATTTGTAGGTAGTTTTGCTGGGTATAGTAGTCTGGGCTGGCATCTGAGATCTTTTAGAGTCTGCAGCACCTGTGTCCAGGCCCTTCTGACTTTTAGAGTATCCATTGAGGACTCTGTGTTATTCTAATAGGCCTGCTTTTATGTTACTTGGTCTTTTCCCCTTGCCACTTTTAATATTCTTTGTTCTGTTCATGTAGTATTTTGACAATTTTGTGGCAAGTGGAATTTCTTTTCTGGTCCAGTCTATTTGGTGTTCTGTGTGCTTCTTGTACCTTGATAGGTAGGGAAACTTTAGATTAGGGGAAACTTTCTTTTATGGTTTTGTTCAAAATGTTTTCTGTGCCTTTGACCTGGGTTTCTTCTCATTCCTCTATTCCAGTTATTCAAAGATTTGGTCTTTTCATGGTGTCCCAGATTTCCTAGATGTTTTGTACCAGGATTTTTTTTTTTAGATTTAACATTTTTACATCTTATACAGTGTCTTCCATGATCCTGAGCATCTTTTATCTATTGTATTATTTGTTGGTGAAGCTGCCTCTGTGGTTCCTTTTTGAGTTCCTGAATTTTTCATTTCCAGATTTCTCTGTTTGGGTTTTCTGTATTGACTCTATTTCTACTTTTAGGTCATGAACTGTTTTATTCACCTCCTTCCACTGTTTGTGTTTTCATAGATTTAAGGGATTTATTTCCACTTTGAGGCTGCATTTCCTCTATCATATTCATAAAAGATGTCTTAGGGCCTTTTTCTTGCACACTTAGAAAGTGTGTCATTATCTTCCAGTCGATGGACAGGGGTACAGTGACTCCACATGCAGCTGTGCCCAAAGTAAAGGTACCTAAGCACTTCCAACAGACTGTTCTAGAACAAGAGAGGCAACAGTCCACTTCTATCCCATGCTGGCCATTCTGGTAATGCACATGTAAAAGATACAGAGATGCATTTCAGAATGTTCAGATAAGTGCTGCCAGGGTGCAGAGGGATCAAAACCAGGTGTTGGTAGAAGGACCTGGAGGGCACGTACCTTGGGGGAGAGAAGGCTCAAGAGAACCAGAAAGGAGAATTCAAGGGTATAAAGGGAGCAGGACTAAGAAGCTTAGGGGCTTTGTGGCTACAAGCACGGACTACTCTTTCGGAGCATCTGCATTTGACTCCTGGCACACACAGGTGGCTCACAACCATCTCCAACTCCATTTCCAAGGGGATCTGGCACCCTCTTCCGGCTGCCAGGCACCAGGCATACACACAGTGCATTTACATGCATGCCTGCAAAACATGTTTGTTTGTTTTTTAAAGCTTAAGTATATTCTAAGTTCAAGTTAAAAAGAACTTGACTCTTTGCGTGATCAAACTACTTAAAGACAAAAAAGGCTGGTTTCCTGGTGAATGAGCAGCGACAAGAGAGGACAATTCTGTATTGACTGCCCAGATGACCTCGGTGAAGAACGGGCTGCAAGTTCTTTGTATCTGTACAAAATCAAGTATATAAATATGACAGTAGCGGGGAAACAGTCTACAGGACACAGGAGATTAACGGGAGCAGGAAGGGATGGAAAGGGGAAAGGGACGGTTAAAGGGGAATATGCTCAACACACAGTACACAGTTATACAAAAGGTTTAAAACCCCGAATCTATGAAGAGTTGAAGATAGAAGGAACTGTTGGGATGGGTGCGTTTGCTTTTTGTGACATCGTCAAAATGGCTTGGTTTCAAAGGTGTCCGGCTGTGTCTTATCTGGAACCCTACCTAATTTGAACCTAGTTTTCATGTTTAAAAAAGACTCATGTTTTCACTGTCTTTACAAAAGAATTTATTTTCTCATTATTTGGTATAATACAGATTTTTTAAAAAAATATATAGCTTTTATGTTGACAAAAGCTTAATCTCCCAAAATAAAGTGCATTGAGAGTACCTATATTTTCTTTTCTTTCTTTTTTTTTTTTTTCTTCTGAGACAGGATTTCTCTGTGTAGCTTTGGTGCTTGCTCTGTAGACCAGGCTGGCCTCGAACTTACAGAGATCTGCCTGCCTCTGCCTCCTGAGTGCTGGGATTAAAGGTGTGAGCCACCACCGCCCAGCAAGTACCTATATTTTCAAACCAAATTCTTATAACCCAAACAAAAACTTTTTCCTAAGGAAAGAAAATTAACTGGGTCAGGCATAGTTACTGTTTCTATTAATAACAAAAATGTTAAAGTACAGTAAATTAAACATTTTAAAAGGTTAGGAAGATGGCTCAGCTGTTAAGAGAGTGAATTCAGCTCCCTGAAATCACTCTGGGTGGTTCACAACTGTCTATAACTCCAGTTCCAGGGTTTCCAAAGCCCTCATGGGCACCTGCACTCATATGCACCTCCCACCACATAATTAAAAGTAATAAGTATTTAAAATATTGAACAGTTTTGTATTTTTGCTATTGAAAGGGAAATGGACAACATTTCCTACTTGAGTACCATTTCCATTTCTAATCATTAGAATAAAAAGAAAGTCTACTTGAGTACCATTTCCATTTCTAATCATTAGAATAAAAAGAAAGCCTCAGAGTGGCACATGCCTTTAATCCTAGCACTCAAAAGGCAGAAGCCAGTGGATCTCTAGGAGTTTGAGGCCAGCCTGGTCTACATAGTGAGTTCCAGGACAGTCAGAACTGTACACTAAGACCCTGTCTTGAAAAAACAAGCCAACAACAACAAAAAGAAATAAGACCTGTTTATGGAGAGAAGGCTATAAAGTCAGAATTTCTAGTAGGTCTGATATTTTGTTTCTATCACTTTTTAATAATTTCTGTCACATTAGAAAATCTTGTTAGAAAATTTAAAGGAACCCTATATTGTTATCTAATTTCTTCTGTAATGTAACTTCCCACTTACTTTTCTAAACTAAAATGAAAAGATAATAGATTTGTTAAAGTACTCTAGTTTTAATTAACGATTTTTTTTGAGACAGGGTCTCTTTTCACAGTGCCCTGGAAGCCCTGGAACTCACTCTGTAGACCAGACTGGTTTTGAACTCAGAAATCTGCCTGTCTCTGCCTCCTGAATACTGGGATTAAAGGCATGTGCTACCATGCCATGCCTTCTAAACTTTTAATTTTTTAAGGTTTATTATTATGATTTTTTTGATGTGTATGATTTTTTTGATGTGTATGAGTGTTTCGATTTCACATGTTTGTACATTAAATACATGCTGGTGACCTTGGAGGCTAGAAGAGGACATCAGATCCCTTTGGAACTGGAGTTACAAACAGTTGTGAACTGTCATATGGGTTCCGGGAACCAAACTAGGAACCTCTGGAAGAGCAGCCAGTGCTCTTAACCATTGACCATCTCTTCAGCTCCCAATAATCCAATTTTAAATAAAATAGCTCATAGACTACACATACCTGTAAAAGCAGGGTAAAACATGGCTAATCTGGTTTCTTTTACTTACTTATTTTGGTTTTTTGAGACAGGATTTCTCTGTGTAGTCTTGGCTGTCCAGGAATTCACTCTGTAGACCAGGCCTGCCTCTGCCTCCCAAGCGCTAGGACTAAAGGTGTGCACCATCACTGCTAGGCTAGTTTCTTTTTAAATATGTAAATTTTGGTGGTTTAAAATGCCTGCTTTCTTCTCTTCTGCCTTTACTTGGTTAAGCCAGACAGTGTTCTTGGCTATTTTAATTTTTGGTGTACTACTCTTGTTATACCTCCCAATGTCAAGTACAGAGGATAAAAAGCACTGGATCATAATGGCTAGTGGACTCCAATGATATGATCCAGGAGTTTCTTCCTTAATGGCTTTACCAGCTGTTCCTCTCTCCTGAAGACAGCTATTCTGTTGGCTACTCAGCCTTCTCTATATCAGATCCTGGGAATGAGCCTTGCTATTGACACTGGAAAGTTAGCATTTAGTCCCTGTATGCATGAAGTGTGATGCTTGGTCAACGTGTGTGTGTGTGTGTGTGTGTGTGTGTGTGTGTGTGTGTGTGTGTGTGTGTGTGTGTGTCTTTCTGGAAAAAACCACACGTCTGGGCGTCTTCTGGAGAGCTTATGGGCAGATTAGAAATTCAGTGATTGTAGGGAGAGGTTGGAATGTTGTGGGTCCCTTGCCTAAATACAGTTTATCTTCAGCTCTTTAGCTCCTCCCTGAAGACCTGTTCCTTTTCCCTGCTTTGTGTCTGACCTAACATCCTTGTGACTAACAGGTAAAAACCTTTAGTGCATTCACATTAACAGGCCGCTAACTTCCACCAACAAAAAGGTTAAGAATACTATGTAGCCTTGCCCTTATATCTGGGAAATAAAGATGAATACTATTGTGAACTAAATGTTTTTAACATGCTTACACACTTGGAGCACGTAAAGTATACCCACATCAAAATTACTGTTTCTACTTAAAGCATTTATTTCTGCAGATGCGAGGTGCCAGTGGCATCCCCCTGGCTCTGGAAGACGCACTCGGCCTCTGCAAACTGTATCCTTTCTAATTTGGCTGGTTTGGGAGGTAACAGGGATTTGGCATTTGCAGTATTGTGCTACTTCCAAGACACTGAGCAAACTGAGGCTGATCTCTGGAACCACATACAGGTGACGGACAGAACCAACTCCACGTTTCTTTGGACCCCTGGCATGGCGTGCATGCGGTGGCATGCAACACAAGACGTCACTTTACCTTGATATTAGCATTTCTCATACCGAGGCAGGAGAATGGAACAGACCAAGAGTTAGAAGGCTCCTAGAGCCGTCTGAAGGCTGGAAACACCTCCCGAGTGAGGCCAACTAAAACCAGCTCTCCTGCCGCCACAGAAAAAGCCAGTTTCCGAACATGAACAGTACTTATTATTCTACTAAAACAGCCCCCCCGGGTAGAGTTAAGATGCTAAGAAAAGGTAAAACATACAAAGTTGTCTGTAGAACTGCGTATCAGCAAGATATGCCGAAAAGCGCAGACCCTTTGTGCACAGCTACCCTTGGAGCTACCAAACTTTTTCTTGCTCCAGCCCAGATCCTCCTGCGTGTGGAAGTGCGCTATCCCTTAATGAGCTTTGCTTCTGTGGGAACTGCAAGTCTCTGTCAACCCTTCCTTCAGGGACACCAGAACCCCTCCAGCCCCTGATACTGATTGATATGATTGGATTTTGCATGGGCTGAGCACCGCAGGTTAAGCAAACAGCCTGAGAAAAGATACATAGCCTTGCCTTTATATCCAGCAGCTGTGTGAAGTTAAATACAGCAAAGCAGGTGCTGACCCATGCTGACCGACAAGGAAGGTTCCAGATCTGAACCTGGAGGGGCTGGCTATGGAGGAAGGACAATAATGGATCATGGCAAAAAAGAAAAAAAAGAAAAAAAAAATGGTTCTTACTGCAATCTTATTCTCGTTCATGAATTATTAGAAAGGATTGTCCAGGATATTAACTCTCATCAGGAATTTGTTCCTTTGAACATCCTGAAGGGCTACATTGCCTGATGCGATTTGATCCCATGTTGGAAGACTCAAGACGGTCTGAAGCCAATGATTTCCCTTGAAATCCAAGGCTGAGTACCACCATTCCTGAGAGGAAGGAAAGAGAACACAGGCCTAGTCAATACTCCTGGCATGTGGAAGACTGACCAGATCCCAAAAATGTGTCCCTGAGTGTGTTTTGTTTTGAGATAGGGTCTCACTGTGCAGCCTTGGCTGGGCTAACCTTGAACTTGGGCTGGTTCTCCTGCCTGTGTCTGGAGACATAGAATTATAGGCTTGTACTGCCACACATGGCTCTGGCTCCTTTGAGCTTTTAAAAACAGGGGAATTCACAGACAAAGGGGATCTTTTTTTTTTCTTTCTTTCTCGGTTTTTCAAGACAGCCCTGGCTGTCCTGGAACTGACTCTGTAGCTCAGGCTGGTTTCAAACTCAGAGATTTGCCTTCCTCAGTCTCCTGAGTGCTGAGATTAAAGGTGTGCACCACCAGCTGGCTTCTTTTTTCATTTTCTTTGTTTTTCTAATCTCTTTCTTTTTTTCTTTCTTGTTTTGTTTTTTGAGAGGGTTCCTATAACCAAAGCTGGCCTTGAATTCTCCCTGTAGCTGAGGATGACCTTGAACTCCTGATCCTCCTGGCTCTACCTCCCCAGCATTGGGATTGCAGGCGTGCATTAACATGCACAACTGATAAAAATGGTTTTTGTTGTTCAAACTAGTAGAACTTGGTTGCATCTTCAGATAAGCATACATAATTGCACATGTAGTTGCTTATTTCACAATACCATGCTGGGTGCAGAGCCCGAGTTTTACCTTTGAGGTGTTCCCACGTGGACAGCAAAAGGAATGTGAAGAAGCCACAGAGGTGGGGAGAGACTGTACTAAGGGGGTTTGCACGAGGGGATTCTCTGAAGTGTAACAAGAAATGCAAAGCTCTGAGCTGCGAGTTTGGCCCTCTGTTGGTAAGGTCTATGATTACTGTGATTGTGTGTCTATTGCTTCACAATCCACATGCTGGAGGCCAACCCCTAAGGTGATAGTACTGAATGTCAGGGATTTGGGTGATTGGGTTCTGAGGGCTTTGGGGTTTATGTCCTTACAAAAGAGCACGAGAAAACAACTTTCCCCCTTCCATTCTTAGGGCAAGCAAAAAGTAGGGAGAGAATAGAAAGACCGGAAAAATTAAGAGAACACCAGAAAGGAAGGTGTGGTGACATATGGTTTGCAATCTAAGAAATAAAGTTTGCCTGAAGATCAGAGGACAGAGCCAGCCACAGAGTTAGCCACAGAGGTCAGGCAGTGGTGGCACACACCTTTAATCCTAGCAATGGGAGGCAGAGGCAGAGATCATCTGAATTTCTGTGAGTTCAAGGCTATACTGGGCTACATGAGATAAATACAGTCTAAAAGAGAAACAGAGCCAGGCAGTGATGGCACACACCTTTAATTCCAGCACTTGGGATCACACACCTTTTTTTTGTTTGTTTGTTTTTGTTTTTCGAGACAGGGTTTCTCTGTGCAGCTTTGCGCCTTTCCTGGAACTCACTTGGTAGCCCAGGCTGGCCTTGAACTCACAGAGATCCGCCTGCCTCTGCCTCCTGATGGTGGCGCACGCCTTTAATCCCAGCACTAGGAAGGTTGAAACAGGAAGTGATATGGCTGGACAGAGAAAGGAATATACCTTGCAGGAGGAGACAGGAGTTTGGCCCTGCTCTTCCCTCCTCTGTCAGGCTGAGGAGTTGGTGAGGGAAGAGGTGGTGGTGGCTGTGACTTGCTCTGTTTCTCTGATCTTTCAGCTTTTGCTCTGCTATCTGGCTCCAGGTTTTTATTACAAGACCAACTACGATTCGTGCAAGAGGGAGGGGCTGCTTACTCTAGAGCAGTGGTTCACAACCTGTGGGTCGCAACCCCTTTGGGAATCCAACGACCCTTTCACAGAAGTTGCCTGAGACCATCAGATATCTACATGATGATTCATGACAGTAGCAAAATTACAGTTAGGAAGTAGCAATGAAAATAATTTTATGGTTGGGGTCAGCACACCATGAGGAACTGTGTTAAAGGGTCGCAGCGTTAGGAAGGGTGAGAACCACTGCTCTAGAGTCTGGCTGAAGTTAAGAATGCCCATTCAATTAACAAAATGAGCTGTGAAGGTTCCAACATAGAGACAAGGTTCCTCTCCCATACAAGTATCTTAAATATGAATACTAAAATCCTAACAATCCTTGCGGAAAGCCCCACAGGTAACTTTGAATATAGCTTTATTCCCTCCCTAGCTGTGGAGCTGCAGTTTTCTAGAAACCTCAGAAAAAGACCATAAGCATCGTTTGCAGTTATATGTGTGTATGTGTATATATATAAATAAAAAGTCTTAGCTTCCTTGTGGTAGATGGTGTCATTGTTAGTATTCTGACCTGCCCCTTGGGGCCACCCTGTGTCCTGACATGAAAGTCTCATTTTTAGGAAAAACCCCTGCCCTTCCTTTCTCTCTTCCTCTCCCCCTCTCCCTCTCCCTCGCTCTCGCTCTCTTTACACACACCTCCGCTTTCTCTCCTTTCTCTCTTTCTGTCTCTCTCTTTCCTATCTTTCTATTCATCTCTCTATTATAATAAACGCTTTCCACATGGATGCAGTACCTGGGGGTGAGTGACTGTTCAATGTGCCACCGTCTGCTGCTGTATCTGCCCACCATGTTCCCCTGCACACGTGGGATACCCTGGCCCGGCCAGCTGGGGTCCCCCACGTGATATATCATAACAGTCATGCAATCCAACACATCTCCAGGAACCACCTTTGGACAAGGCGATTTCAGAGGCCACCAGAATCATACAATATTTGATTCTCTCTTGAAAAGCTCACCCAAAGTTGTGTGTGTGTGTGTTATCATTTTTCTAAGCACTATTAGTGCCCATGCTTAAACCTATGTTTAAGCCTCTTTTTCATACACCCCAGCTCTACTTCTATTTAAGGAGTTAGCCTCAAATTATTTTCAGCATCAATGTCAAGAATCCTAGCTTCACTTGAGTGGAGGTCTCTGTAGAGAATTCAGGTAACAGGTGGCAGAGTAGGGCTATGTCTCTGGTTCCTGCTCCTTCTGCCACTGATGGGGGCACAGCCAGAGGCACATTCAATGAGGAAATCATCCTCATCAGATATTGAATTCTACGCCACAGTCTTAGACTTGCCAGCCTGCAAAACTATGGGCCGTAAACTTCTCGTAAGCCCAAGTGGACTAAGACAAGGATTTACCATGCCTCCTAAAACCCAACTGGGAAGTGGGTTCTGAGGCTTCCTCAGAAGGGTGAACATCCCCACATATGTAAACCCACCACACACACACACACACATACACACACACACACACATACATACACACACACACACACACACACACACACACACACTGTGGCATGGTGGCTGATGGTACAAACCTTGCTCATGCTTAGCCAACATTTCTCCAGCAAATTCCCTTGTGTCTCAGAAAGCTCCAAAGCTGTGTTCAGGAAGAAGTCACAACTATGCCCATCTCCCATCAGTATGTAGACATAAGCCATCAGGTGGTAGAGCCTTGGGTAGAAGACAGGGCCAATGGTGTCTTCAGCCACAAGGCTCTCTAAGGCCTAGAGAAGACAAATAACCAATATAACCATAGGCTGGGGATATAGATGACTCAAGTGGTGCAGTGCTTGTCAACAGGAGTTCAATCCCTAAAACCCACATTTCAAAAGCACAGCAAGAGCTGGGCATGGTGGCATAAACCTTTCCCCAGCACTTGGGAAACAGAATTTGAGGTCAGCCTGGTCTATATAGCAAGTTCCAGGATGGCCAGGGCTACATAAAGAGACCCTGAATCAAATAAGTAAATGAATAGATAGATAGATAGACAGACATATGGATAAATAGATTGACTGATAGATATGAACGTGGCATGTGTCACTTCTGTGACCTGGATGGTGTCATAAGCTTAAAATCCCAGCCTATTATTGAGGCTATCCCCATAGTTTTCCTAGTAACCACACATCCCTGAAAACACCTCATTGTACCTGTGGTTTTACTTGACTCATGGGAATGAGTCAGTGTTTCCTATGTATGTGGGAAGGATCTTCATAAAATATTGAAGACCCACTAATCTGACTTTTGACCTTAGATATTTGGCATATCCTGCAGATAGATCTGTGGTATCCCTGGGTGTGATAGTTTAGGAGTCAATGTGATCTGAACTCCGTCACATGAAGAGATGTGGGGTATCAGCAATTGAGAAGATAGTCTGTCCTAAAAGGGATCCTGAAGTAAATCATTTCAGGCAATTGGATACCAGAGATCTCAGATGGAGAACTTAGTTGTGGGTATGTCCTTAACTCGAGCTCAGATAACAGAACTTGGAGAGGACCTGTGAGATGGCCCAGAGCATAAAAGGCACTCATCGCCATGGAACCTGAGTCCCATACCTGGGGAGCCACACCGGCAGGAAAGAACTGACTTCTGAAAGTGTCCTCTGGGGTCCACAGACACACTGTCACATGAACAAGCATGAGCGCGCACGTGTGCGCGCGAACACACACACACACTCATCAAGTGTAAAAGAAGCTTAAATAAAAGAATTATAGGCTGAGAGCGTGACTGGACTAAGTATCAGTTCCCACAAAAAGGCACAAAGGGCTGTCTTGAAATCTTGAACCTGGAGGAGGTTGGCCTGTATGCACAGTGAAGGAATCACATGTAAAATCCCTTCAAACAAACAAAACCCCCAATAACAGGCAAAACAATACAGTCATTGATAGTCTATTTGATAGCAAATTTCAACAAATGGAAATATATGTATATCCACATGCAGGAAAAACTTGAGTAGTGGTATCATACAGTGTATAAAAAGTACAATCTCCAAATAGAGCAGTTACAATTTGTGGTTTTATTTAAAATTTGATTACATTTAGTGTGTGTGTGTGTGTGTGTGTGTGTGTGTGTGCGTGTGTGTGTGTGTGTGTGTGTGTGGTATGTGCTCACATGTGCTACAACATATGTGTGGAGGTCAAAGAATTACTTTCAGGAGTTGGTCAAATTCTGGCCATTAGCCTTGGCAGCAAGTATCTTTACCTGCTGAGCCATCTCTCTGGTCCTTTTTTTTCCCTAACTTTTTAGGAGGATTGTCTTGAAAAAACTTTTTACATAAATATGTACAAATTCTGTAATGAGAAGACAGAGAGTCAAGAAGTAGATGGGAATTCACTAGAGGAGGGATCTGTCTGTGCTTGAAAGCAGGGAGCAGGTCTCACCTTGAGGAGCTTAACCCCACTGTTCTGTGCCTTCCTTTCTTCTATTTGCTGCTGGAGGTGGAGAACTTGCCCTTCCATGTACCGCGAGATGCCTTCATAGTAAAGAACTGTTGGGGTTCTTCGCGCCACAAAAGTTTTAGCTTTATTGGAAAATCTGTGGAAGTCGTGCCATTGCTTTAGTCTGGCATACCTGCACAACCAGAGAAGAAATGAAAATCGGCCCTGCTCTCTGGATAGACTGGTTTCCTGAGAGATCTCTCTGGATGTCACCTTTCAATACCTTGGCCTTCTGCCTGCCTCGGGTCTGACACAGCAGAATGGTAGATGATGTGGATCCAGTGTTGTTTTCACCAATGTTGGTAGGAGGAGAGAGCAGAAGAGAGAGGGGAGGAGTCTCTGACCAGCTTTTTAAGGATTCCCCTGCACATGCGCATGTGAGCTATGCCATACATGCGCAGATTGCGTGACCACGCAGCACGGGTTACGTAGGACGTAAGACCCTGGCTACTGAACTGCGCATGTGCGGTCATACAGCTGGAGGAGTGGCTGGAAAAAGTGGAATCACATGATTCGGGAGGAATAGAGCCCTCAGGAGCACACATGGAGCACTGGCCACCATCTGTTATGCTCCTTGGACTCTAGGAAGTGAGACAGATCACACACGTCAGACTTGAAGAAGCTGCCCCGGTTGCAAAGAGGGGGGGCCAGCAGGACTGAGTGGGTTGCAGATGGGCCAGTGTCAGCCGTGGATTTCCAGGTCTAACCCAGATCTACTTAGTCAGGCCTTCTGAGTGAGGGCTAGGAATTTGGGCAAACAAGCCTTCTAGGTAATTCTTCTGGCCACTAACTGTGAGAAGTATTGGCTGGGGATACAACTGTTCCAACAACATCCCCACTAGGATGGAGAGCGATGAGGGATAAGCACAACTGTTAGACATCAGAGCCTTTGAAAATTAATGAACATCGGGATACCAGTTTGATATTGAGCCTTATCCGGCAAAAGTAATTTTCTGGATGTTAAGTTTTCCCATGTAATTTAATTTTGTGTTTAAAGCAGGGTCTCATGTAGCCTGGGCCACCCTTGAACTCCTGAACTCCCCATGCTCCTGCCTCTGCCTCCCAAGTACTGGGAACATAGGTGTGAACCACTGTGCCTAGTTTCAAATCATTTATTTACTTTTAATCAGAAGTCATTTCACTTCAGTTGCTCTCATTTCATTACAAAGCTTTTGGGGAGTCACACTAGGCAATCTGGCTGTGTATAATGTGAGACGGGAAACAGAACGGGAATCTCAGTCTAGGAGATAACACAGAATTTGGTTGTTTTCTGATTTACCTTGAAGCTGTACGTACTGTTCATCTCATTCTTGAAGGCCTGGCCCCGGCTACAGGCTTGTTAAGCTGGAAACAGTACTTCCTCCTCTCTCCTCAGTGTTGTATGGGTAAAGAGCCAGGGCTATTTCCCCTCTGCTCTCACTTCTCCAATAAAGGAGTGACTTGGTTGGTTGTTGATTTGGGAGACACTGAGATAAGCATATCTCAGCCCCTGTGCTGTCTCTGACATAAGAAACAGTGAGGCTGACAGGGAACATGGCATTGAGTTTCTTGGCCATGGGACAGAAAGAGCCTGCCTTGATTGGGAACCCCGTGGTTTATAGTGCCACCGCAGAGTAGTTAGGTCTAATGCTGGAGCTTCAGTGTTATTCTCTGCAGACGTTATATAGCCCATATCCTCCAACGTCACTACCTCCAAATAACATTTTCCCATCTGTTTAGATCTGGGCAGGTGTATGTGGGCAAGTGGTGCTATTTCTTCATGCCTGAACCATAGCACCCCTTAGAAATTGGTACAGTTATCCTTCAATAGCCCCTCAGTGCCAGGATGCCCCTAGCCCACAGATGCTTAAATTCACAGATGCTCAAAACTCTTCCATAAAATGGTGCAGCATTCACCAACCCCATGCACATCTTCCTGTATCATCACTGGGTTACTGATGATACCAACTGCAATGTAATGCTATGTAAACAGTTGTTACATTTATTGTTTAAGGAGTAATGACTAGGAAGCAGTCTCCACATGTTCAGGACACTTGAAACTCTCCTCCATGCCTCATAGCTTCTCTCTTAGGTGCACAGAATCCACAGATACAAATCTGGCCACCCAAGCTGTCTATGCTGAAGGCTTTGTATTCCTGTGCCATTGAGACAACTGAGACAAAATTACTTTTCTGTCCTCGGCTGAAGGTTTCTAGAGGATCGATCTGGATCTCTCGGGTGGCTTTCTCTATAAATATTCCCTGGCACCTTTAAGCTGTCTCAGATGTAAACTATGAATGTTTTCTTTCTTTTAAAGAATTTCATTGAACTCTTCTTTGGGATTTAACTTTTTCACTTGAGAAAGGAAATGGTATGTAACACATTGTTACCAGACAGCTATGCAGGAGTAAAGTCCCAGGAGCAGTCCACTCTGGAACTTGAGGATTCTGTTGTCTTCATTGTTGTGTACGAATTCCAAACATTCTTCAAATGTTCTGTAAATGAAGCCTAGAAAGGAGAGAAACAGAGTGATCTTGTGGTAGCATGGCGTGGGGATGGGGGAGGTAGGGTCTTGCCGGCCTTAATTTGCAATAGAATTTCCCACTGAAGAGGACTTGCCCACTTCTGTGTTGGACCCAACAATATGTGACTGACATAAAAAAACCTTTTAGAATGTTTTTGACTTAGCAGACCGCGAGCTTCTACCATCTCAAGCTTAAAGCTAAGAGTACTGCCAGGCGGTGGTGGCACACGCCTTTAATCCCAGCATTCGGGAGGCAGAGACAGGCGGATCTTTGTGAGTTCGAGGCCAGCCTGGTCTATTGAGCGAGATCCAGGAAAGGCGCAAAGCTACACAGAGAAACCCTGTCTCAAAACAAACAAACAAACAAAACAACTAAGAGTGTCGCCAGACAACATCTGAGGCCTATAGCAGAGGTCTGTCCACTTCCCTGTAATGGATCTCTCTGACGTTCCTACCTATATACTTGAAAAGCACCTTGATTTATGACTTTCCTTGTAATATTATTATAAAAGAGTTCAAAGAGCTAGTTCCATGTTGGAGCATAGAACTGTATTCCTGGGCCATTGTCTTTCATGTTTGGCTCCAGAACAGACTCTTTCTTATCCTCTGTGTTAAGAGCTGTGTTTGTGTGGACATTACCAGCAGCTACTGATGCCTGTGACTGCCATTCTCAACAGGCAAACCACTGTAGGCTTGTAAAAGCCTAAATAAACCCAGCAACACATTGTCACTGACAATGTTCCCGCTCAAGAATCATGCAACCAAGTTACAAAAGATCTCATAAAGTTTTAAGTAAATTTGCAATTTTGTTGGGCCACATGCTAGGTAGTTTTGTTTGTTTTGTTTTGTTGTTGTCAACTTAACATAAGCTAGAGTCATCTAGGAAGAGGGAACCTCAATTGAGAATATGCCTCTATCAGTCCTGTAGGTCCTGATGTGGGAAGGTCCAGCCCATTGTGGCAGGTGGTCCTGGGTTGTGTAAGCAAATAGTCTAAGCAAGTCAGAAGAACAAGCCAGTGAGCAGCAGTCTTTCATGACCTCCACTTCCGTTCCTGACTCCAGGTTCCTACCTTGAGTTCCTTCCCTGACTTCCCTTAATAATGAATTGTAACCACGAAGGTGAAATACATCCTTTCCTCCCCAGGTTGCTATTGGCCATGGTGTTTTATCACAGCAACAAAGACCAAGCAACGACAGGCCACACTCAGGGCTACGTTGCCTGCAGGCCATGTGTTGGGCATGCTTTTCCACATGAAGTCACCACTAAATACTGCAAAAATTAAATACTCCTGGTAAAAGGCACATTGTAAAACGATGCCAGCGACTACACTCATTCAGAAATTGATCCAACAGCTCAGACCTACAAGCTTCTGTTCAGCTGAAACCTCCAGCTCCCGCCTGCTTGATCCGGAAAGCCCCATTCCTGTCTCTCTTCTCTCTCTCCAAACCCCACCCTCTAAGAGAATCTCCAACAAAGAAAAGGCACCAAAAAGCCCAGTTCTGTCTTTTTAGCAGCTGTGGCAGCTCCTCCCCAGAAGTTGCCAGTAGCTGAGACCCTGCCTAAAGAGGTCAGCTTTTGACCATACTTGGGCACAACCCCAACTTGTGGAGAATACATTGTCACACCTCACCTCCGGGGGTGTATTAGTTCCCTGCTTTGGTTAGGGCATGTGACTTCTCCTGATCTCTGGGGCTGGAGGGCTCACCTGGGAGTTGCTTTGCTCAAATAAACCTGTTCTTTTGCTTTTTCAATTTGGTTTGCTCTAGATTACTGTGTAGGTGGAGAGACCTATTATCTCATTACAGAAAACCTGTTCTCTTCCTCTAGATTTTACTATCCTTTGTCACTGATCTCCCCAACCCCACCTCAGCCCCAAGCACAACTTTTTTCCCCCACTTCGAGACAGAGTCTCACTATGCAGTTCTGGCTATCCTGGAACTCACTATATAGATCAGGCTGGCCTTGAACTCCCAGACATCTGCCTGCCTCTACCTGGTAATTTGGTAATTTGGTAATTGCTAAATAGCTCCTTGAATCATGTCACCAAGCTCTCTCCATCCCTGAACACTAAGTAGGTGCCCCAAAGCCCTGAGAGTTGCCTCATCACTCCAGCATGGGGATTCACTCCCATTTCTTTTAGTTCCTGAAGCCAGAATAAATTCCATGCTTACCAGAATAAAGCATGATGTCCAAACAGACAAAATAGAAAAATGCCTTGCTGAAAATGTGCTCTTCTGTTACAGAAAAGTCCCACAACAATTCTAGAACCTGGACCAAATGCTTGTATCTGTGGAACAGAACAAGAAAGCAGTGAGAGAGGAAAGGATGGAGTTCAGTCGTGGTCTAGGTTAGTCTTGGTCGTGAACAGTAATTCAGAAACAAATACAACTCTTAGACTTTAGCTGAGGGGTGTGGTGGTGCACACTTTTAATCCTAGCACTCAGGAGGCAGAGGCAGGAGGATCTTTGAGTTTAAGGTCAGCCTGGTCTACAGAGTGAGTTCCAGGACTGCCAGGGCTGTTATACAGAGAAGCCCTGTCTTGAAAGAAAAAAAACAAAAAACAGACTTCAAACCTTCCCTTGCTCAGAACTAGAACCTTAATCTCCAACTGGATCCCCCCAACAGTTCTTTTAGGGATCCTCCAGATCAGGGAGATTAGAGTCAGGCCAAACAGGCCAGGATCTTCGAATCTTTGTTGCTGTTCTTCAGGCAAGCACAATGCTTTTTTAACTTCCCTGTACCTGGCAGGGGTAGAGGCCTAGTTCCCACAATAGGTGTGACTGATTGTCCTTCTGTCCCTGGCAAGAGCAACCAGATCAGAGATAATGAACACGAAAGAACTCCATTAAAAGAACTAGCCGGGCGGTGGTGGCGCACGTCTTTAATCCCAGCACTCGGGAGGCAGAGCCAGGCGGATCTCTATGAGTTCGAGGCCAGCCTGGGCTACCAAGTGAGTTCCAGGAAAGGCGCAAAGCTACACAGAGAAACCCTGTCTCGAAAAACTAAAAAAAAAAAAAAAAAAAAAAAAAAAAAGAATTAATGGGGGGGGTAATATTGATAGATAAAAGATGACGGTTATCAGTTACATTATCTTGCCATGAACTGCACTTCCTTTCCCATGCTATGGTCAGGGTGAAACAAGTCAGAACCCCCAAACAGCTCTCTGTTCTAGTTAGCTTTGCCACCTGCATAGCCTAGCGTCATCTGAGAGGAGAGCTTCCTGACTGAGGAACTGCCTAGATCAGATTGATATGTGGGCATGTCTGTGGAGGATTGTCTTGATTATTAATCGATCATACAGGGCTACTGGGGGAGTCACCACCTCTAGTTCTAGAAGCTAGCTAACCCTGGACTGGAAAGGGAAAAAGAGAGCAAGACTGCTGTGGAGTAATCCTTTTGTACACTGAAGATTTGTCATTGTGATGGGTTTAATAAAGAAGCTGACTGGCCAATACCTGAACAGGGTAAAGTTAGGCAAGAAAGTCAAACTGAGAATGATGGGAAGAAGGGCTGAGTCAGAAGGGTCACTAGCAGATGCAGAGAGAAGCAAGATGGAGATGCAATACTGAGAAAAGGTACCAAGCCATGAGGCAAAGCATAGATAAGAAATATAGGTTAACATAAATGTAAGAGTTTAGTAACAAGCCTGAGCTATTAGCCAAGCATTTACAATTAATATTGCTATTGGCTGAGCACTTAAATTAATATTCAGTTTCTGAGTAATTATTTGAGAGTGGCCATGACACAGGAAAACTCTGCCTGCACAAGCCAGCAAGAAGCCACGGTTTCTGTTCAGGTTCCTGCTTGAGTTTCTGCCCCAAATTTCCTCAAGGGTGGACTGTGACCCAGAAGTGTAGGCTGAAGTAAACACTACCACTGCCACCACTCCCTCTGCTTTTGGGCAGAGTGTTCTATCACAGCAACAGGAAGGAAAGTAAAATCCTAACTTTGGAAAATGCTTTAGGACAAATACCTGCTTTTCAAGAAGAGAGATTTACTCAGTCTGCAGAGAACCATATGGTATTTGTTGGGATTCTGGAGAAGAGACCACATCTTACAGGCTCGGGAACCTGGGAAGAAAGCAAATGTGTGGTGTGTTTGGAGTTATCACATGTAACTTTATGCCCTTTCTTGCCTAGCTAGCGTTTACCTAACTCAATGGCCAAGTCCAGATGACCCATTAATAACTTGATATGGCCCAGTGTATCAGCCGCATAAGCCATGATTTTGATGGCCTCGCCTTTCACGGGGAGGTTCAAGAGCTGCTCCATGACCAGGGTTTCATATTTGAACCACATGCCCTGGTATCCAGTCAAATGGTGGTACAGGGAATAGTCCAGAAAAGCCTTGATGATCTACAAGGACACAACAGAGAGAGAAGGAGAAAAACTGAGGAAGAATCTCAAGGTGAGAGACTCAGCGCCTACCAGGAAACTCTGCTTATTCAATTTGGACTGTAGTTAGTCATTGGGCCAATGCCATGGACGAAGGTGCAGAAGCCAACTAGGTGTCTGCCACCTGCTTACTGTCTTCCAGGATAAGCTTCATGGTTCTGTTTGTATACAGTCTTTAAAATAAATACAAACATTTTAATTCGTATGAAAAATAAAAACAATAGGTTACACATGTGGATACATGGCTGCACAGCACAAGGTTGAGCAGATGCAGTCAGGTCTACACAGTAGGTAGTTAGGTTAAGGTAGAGGGAGCGTTTGAGAGAGAAGAATTAGCTTTTCTTATGCATTGCTTTTGTGGTGCATAAGAAATGTAATGGTTTGCTTAGTCTGTCTGATAAAGGACTAATTTAAAACATAATTGGAGATTTGAGAAGTTGCTTATTCTTTAATCAAAGCTTTAAAACGAGAAAGTTGCCTCAGAATATAAATGCTTAGAGAAATGCAGACAAAAGAATTCCTTTTGAAGAATCAGTTTACACACACACACATACACACACACACACACACACACACACACACACACACACACACACGCGCGCTTGCATACTCACACACATGCATACACACACGCACAAACTCACTTATACATGCACTCACACATACATACACAATACATGTATAAACTGCTTTGAAAAATAAAGACAGGAGAATAGACTAATAATGGATTCTCTAATAGTTCAAGTATTTATTATGTTGGGGTGATTGTACAGGGGAGACTTTTTAAGACTTTTTTCAGGAGGACTTTTCTTCCTGGAATTCCTCACATTCTGTCACAGGCAAGTCTCTAGGTACTTGTTAAATCACAAAGTTCTTTTTTGCAAATTCCAAATTCCTGGTGTGAACATGCACAATGCTGCTGCAAAGGAAGCTTGGCCATACATGGCGGGGGGGCAAACGACAAGTCAACAGCAGCAATAGTCTCGAACTTCGTGTATGTGGACCAAGAGAACAGAGTCTGACTGCTTCATCGCGTGGGGCAAATAGAAAGCTCAGGGGTTGTGTGGCTTGCCTGTGTGGCCTGCTGGTGGTCACACTGAGGATGGGTCTGGAAGCCACTCTGGGTTCTCATCTAGTCCTTCCGTTATCTTAAACTGTCCATGACTGGATTCCATCTTTTGAAAGAGAACTATCCTTTTACATTTAGCTTCTTGGATGCTCCTCCTCTGAATATACTACTGAGTTTGCCAGAAGCTTCATATGTGACACTACATCTCAGTGAAGATGAGGTGAACATCTAATTATCAAAGCAGGCCTAGTGGCACATACCTGTAATCCCAGTACTCAAGATACTGCAAGGTAGGGGCCGGCCTAGGCTATAGAGTGAGGCCTGTCTCAAACAAACAAACATGAATCTTCCTCAAACAAAATAAGAAACACAAGCACATGCCTTTGATCCCAGCACTTGGGAGGCAGAGGTAGGTGGATCTCTGTGAGTTTGAGGCCAGCCTGGTCTACAGAGCTAGTTCCAGGACAGCCAGGGCTATACAGAGAAACCCTGTCTCAAACAAACAAACAAACAAACAAAACAAAAAACCACCACCACCAACAACAAAACAATCAAACAAAACAAAATAAGACACGCAATCACAGTGAATCTATAAAGCACACACACAAAAAGATATTTACAAAAACTTAATACAATGCCACACTTCTCATTGTATTTTGCTGCTGTTGTTTGGAGAACTCTATTTTTAATGCAAATGCTAATTATGTTGATATACACTTTTTACTGTTGTTTTTAAGAATTTTAGCTGGGCGCTGGTGGCACATGCCTTTAATCCCAGTACTTGGCAGGCAGAGGCAGGTGGATCTCTGCCAGCCTGGTCTACAAAGTGAGACCCTGTCTAAAAAACCAAAAAAACAAAAACCACAAAACTTTTAAGTTTTTCTCACTTGGTGTCCTATAATATCAATTCCAACCCACAAAAGCAAAAGCGGTTTGATTCTGACAGTGGAGTCATCCTGGGGGCCAAAACATTTGTTAGCTGCTGGCAAAACCACCCAGTCAGAGAGGCTTCCATTACAACCATGTGATTTTCAGATCCCGTCGGCTTTGGCTAGGAGGTTTGTTGCTGCTGCTTTTCTAAATGAGACGCAGCAGTTTCAAGGACAGCTACAAACATACCTGGAAATTATTTTGAGTTTCCAGCGAGGTGTTCATTTGCATCATGGCTGCCAGCTGGCCGTAATACTTGTAGTGGAAAAAGAGGTTCAAGCTGTAGATCTTCCACAGCAAGGAGAAGCAGGAAGCTTGCAGGTAGAGTTCTGCCAGTTTCTTCCTGTCACCAGAACGGCAGATGGACAGAGACGGTTTCCTGACCATTGGGCTCACATGCTCAGGCTCCCTGTGCCCTCCTGCTGTTATTCCCAGAGCCCTTACCTGAACTGGAGGCCTGACTCATGACTGACGATCACATGCATTTTTATGAAGCACTGAAATATGTTACATTGAATTAACTAGGTGAACCTGTCTGAATTTCACCTTCTGTGTGAAATTGGGTCAAATCATCCCCTCTTTCCCTATAGACTCAAATGTGAAGAATGACATCCATGTGCCTTTAACCAGCTTCACTTTTTACCTAAACTATGTTATGGGGAGGGAAAGACGGCTCAGTTGTTAAGAGTACTTGTCGCAGAGGACCCAGGTTCAATTTCTAGCACCCCCATGATGGCTCAAAATCAACCTAAATACAGTTACAGGGGATCTGACACCCTAGTCAGACCCTAGTAGGCACCAGACATGCACATGGTACACAGACATACAGCTAAGAAAAATATTCATACAGATAAAAGCAAATTAAAAAACAGAAAGCCCCGTGTCATCACAAAATAGATATCATGGTCTCCATTTTATAAGGAAGAAAATGTGCTTCCTACAAATGAAACGGGTTAGTTCCAAATACTCATGTGCTATCCTGTCTCCCAAGTACCAAGATTAGAGACATGTGCTACCAGCTCCATTATTTTCTTTCTAAATATTCATTTTATTTACTTATTTTGTGTGTTTTATAGGTGCATGTGATACCCACACCTATGCATAAGAGTATATCAGATCCCTCAGAACTGGAGTTACAGGCATTTGGGGGATGCATGGTATAGCAGTTTAAATGAGAATGCCCGTCACAGGCTCTGGCATTTGAATACTTGATTCCCAGTTAGTTTGGGAGGCTGAGAAAAAGATGTGGCCTTCCTGGAGGAAGGATGTTGCTGGGGGCCAGTTTGGGTACCATATAGAGTTCACTCTGTTTCCTGCTTATGGTTCAAAATGTAAGCTCTTAGTTGTTTCTCCCACCATGACTCATCTTGCCTCCATGCTCCCCAACACATGGCTTATCATATGTGTACTGGGATTCAAACTCTAGTTTTATGATTGTTCAGTAAGCATCCTTAACTGCTGAGACATCTTTCAGCCCTGCGATCATTATTTTTTTTTTTATAGTTCACTTATAGACCAAATCTTAGCTACATTTTAAATTAATGAACACCCATCCCTAATGTAACCCTTATCAAATTCATAGAAGAATAGGGAAATTTGTACTTTGGCAGATATCCTCAAGGCCTGCTAATTTTCTTTGAGGTAAGAATAATATTTAGGGGCTGGAGAGATGGCTTAGAGGTTAAGAGCACTTACTGCTCTACCAGAGATCCTGAGTTCAATTCCCAGCAACCACATAGTGGCTCACAACCATCTATAATGAGATCTGGCACCCTCTTCTGTCCTGCAGGCACTCATGCAGGCAGAACACTGTATATAGAGTAAATAAATCTAAAAAACAAAAAGAATAATATTTAGTATCTTCGTAAAGCATGGGGGGCTTACAGTTGAGATTCTACAGAACATGGCGCTGGTTCTGCTATCTGATGCTAGATCGACAGGAGAGTCATTGTATGAGTAATAAAGAGAATTGGTACTCACTTTGTGTGGTAGTTTGAATGTAATTGGTCCCCATAAGCTCACAGGGAGTGGCACTATTAGGAGGTGTGGTTTTGTGGGGTAGGTGTGGCGTTTTTGGAGGAAGTGTGTCACTGTGGAGGTGGGCTTTGAGGTCTCATATGCTCAAGCCACGCTCAATATCTCAGCTCACTTCCTGTTGCCTGTGGGTCAAGATGTAGGATTCTCAACTCCAGCACCAAGTCTGACTACACACCACCATCTCACACCATGATGATAATGTACTAAACCTCTGAACTGTAAACCAGCCCCAATTAAATGTTTTTCCTTTATAAGAGTTGCTGGGGTCATGGTGTCTCTTCACAGCAATAGAAACCCTAACTAAGATACTTTGTGAAGGAATTCCGTGGAATTCTTTGACAAAAGCTACTTGGGAAGTGCTCGGGACATCCTGGCCCTGGCCATCTCATCCTACGAGTGAGCGTTTGAGCTCCTGGAGCACCAGGCTGTGAGGACGGGCTTGTGCTGTTTGGCAGCTGTCCTTACCTGGGAAACGGAAGTGAGACCCTCAGTTGTTCCCAGCTCCTTCCCTTACCCTGGTAGCGAGCCCTCCTGGGGATGCAGGGCCATCAAGTGGGAGAGTCTGTTCTTTTCAACATGCATTTGGAAAATCAGGGTGATTATGTTGGAAGGAAACATTCGGTTGAGAAACTTCAGTGCCTTTTTCAGCATTTTCTTGGCAAGCACCATCTGCCCCATATTAAAACAGACCTAAGGAAGAAGGAAAGGGGCAGAGGAACCAACAGTAAATTTGGAGGAATACTTATCTCAAAAAGTTGAACTGTGGCCCAGGAACCAAGTCTTTATGTGCTTTAACATAATATTAAAATTATTTAATGTTAAAATTGAATTAATATGAAAATGTTTATTGGGTGCCTGTACAAGGAAGACTGAAGAGCAGGGTTTGGCATTGAGTTGTGTATCATATAAGGGAATGTTTACCCATGCATATGCACTGTTACAAAGACATTTCATAAACATGTCAACATACTTGGTAGGGAAGATATCAAGTTATAGCGAGGAAGTATTGAGTCAAGCTTGGGGTTCTAAACTCTGTGAGAAGAGGATATTGAATATATAGAGATGACTTTCACTCCTTCTGTGGACTGCCTTAGGACTCCAGTGTACTGGTTTCTTACCTGACCTTTGAGACTATAAAATGTGGCGTATTCAAAGGTCTGACTCCAAGAGTGTTCGTTCGTCAGGGTCTTCAGCAGTCTTTCTCCTTCATCTAAATACATGTATGCCTGCAACCAGCAAAGAAAACAGAGAAGCACTGAATTCTAACAGAGGGTCTCTTGTCCCAGATACTGCCAAAGCGAGGGAAGCAGGAGCCACTTCAGGTCCCAGGTCATCCCTAGGCCTGGTCTCATTGGTTATTGGACCTCTACACTAGACAGAAGCTGGGTGGGTATCTTCATGTCTACCTCTGTCTGCCAGATTTAGCAATCACTTCTTTCTGTTTCATTATATGCATGTAGCTACCTCAGTTCAAGGGGCATGTTGCCATGGAAACAGTTTTCCTAGGGAAGTGTTAGCCAATGCTCTGGTGGTCGCAAGTTTGTCTGTATGATGGTTTAGCCAAATTGTACGGAGACAGAAGTGGGGGAGCTTCTGAGGGCAACAGGACTGAAATAAATTCCTATCAGCCAGGAAACCTATAGCTCTTCTGTGCTCTATAGTACTGTTGGACAGGAAGGTATAAACCACTGGGGTGTTACTTACGAGGACTGTGATGCAAATGAAACGTTTATACTAAGAGTGAAATTTTATACCAAATCATTTGCATGTAAGTCCAGTTTCCTCTCTCCCAGTAGACAATTTCAAGAGTGGCAATATTTCATTAATTAAAGAAAGATTTGGTTTGTAGCCTAGGCTGGTCTTGAACTTGCTATGTAGCTTAGACTGTCCTCAAGCTTGTGATTCTTCTGCCTTAGCTTCCAAAGTATACCACCATGCCTGGCTTGGTTGTAGTACTTTAATTAATCAGTTATTAATTACTTTTTTCAAGACATGGTCTTGCGTATCCTAGGTGGGTGGCCACGAACTTGCCATATGGCTGAATCTGCTGGCCTTGAATAGATCCTGATCTTCCTGCCTCTACCTCCCTAGTGCTGGCATCACGGGTGCATGCCACCATGCCAGGCATGATGTATGATGATTGTGGTGGTTTGAACAGGAATGGTTCCCATAGGCTCAGAGATTTAAATACTTGGGCATTAGGGAGTGGCACTATTAGAAGGTGTGGCCTTGTTGGAATAGGTGTGGCCTCATTGGAGGAAGTGTGTCACTGGAAGAGGGCTTTGGAGTTTCAGAAGCTCAAGCCAGGCCCAGTAGCTCTTTTTTTCTGCTATCTGCGGATCTGGATGTAGAACTCTCAAATCCTTCTCCAGCACCATGTCTGCCAGTTTGCCACCATACTTCCATGATGGCAACAGACTAAACATCTGAACCTGTAAGCAAGCCCCCAATTAAATGCTTTCCTTTATCAGAGTTGCTGTGGCCATGGTGTCTCTTCACAGCCATAGAACATTGGCTAAGACAATGATGGTGGAGAACAGCAGCTTACCTTATAGTTGTCTCCCAGGATGAGATAAGCAGATGCAACTTCTAGGAAATAGTATAGAGCTTTGTTGTTTTCTTCTAAGGCTACCAAATGCTGGGCCAGTGGCAAGATGACAGTCTGGAGCAGCTCCTCACACTGGCATGACTCCAGAGGGATGATGTCATCCTGAGATGACCCCATCTTTGCAATAACATTGTCAAAGAAATGCAATATTATATTCCTTGTTTCTGCATCACTGTTTAAATACAAGAGTAAGTAGATCATCAATAAATTACAGACACAGCACAGATTTTGATATGAAATTATCTTTGAAGACTAACAGAATCCAGTGTTGCTCTCACCGACTGGTGAGATGCACCATGCAGCCCTGTCATTTCCCCTGGGTACCTAAGAGGCCTAAAGGTTGACCCAGAGTGACCCCAATGTCATGACAATTGCTTCTTTTCTATCTTCTAAAAACTACGTATGTGCATACCTGCGATTCTCAGGGAATTTGTATTTCTTAGGGAGCTCTGATTTAGAAAAGCCGACTTCCTCTTCAGCTAGAAAATAATTGAGCAAGTGAGATGTTTGCCATCCACCAAAGACTCTTATTCCCTTTACCCAGCAAGGAACCACATTTCCTAGTCCATCTGTGTCCCGTCCACCCTCCTGTCCCCTAGACACCTCAGCTTAGAAAAAGCCACGTGGTTCTTTTCTCAGGTAGAATCATATCAGATGTGATGGATGTCACTTCTGAAATAGATGGGTTTCTATCATGTTCTTTCCTTAGATAGGAAAGCAGCTAGATCTGAACAGCCAAAGGAAAGCAAAACACTGACCAGGAGGAGCCTGAGTCTATAGGTGTCTGCCAGGCCACTTGTCAAACTTTCAGGGGATTATTATAAAGGCAGGTAAATAAATTCCCATTCCACCATGCTGACCCACTGAAATGCCAGTTTGTTATAGCTGATAACATTATCCTGACCCATTTAACACGCTACAATTAAAACTAGTTTAACAATCATAAAGTAACATTAATGTGTAGTGAAGAAAGAGAAATTTAAATACACACACACACACACACACACACACACACACACACACACAAACACACATGCAGGTTGTTTTGTTTGAGATGGGCTCTCATGTACCCTGACTGGCCTTGAACTCAGCTTGTAACCAGGGATAACCTTCAACTTCTCATCTGTCTGCTTTTGCCTCCAAGAATGAGGACTTCGGGAGTGCAGTGTTAAGAGTCAAACTCAGGGCTCTATATGTGCTAGGCAAGCGAGCACTCTACTGACTCTACCTACACGGTCCAGGAAACACAGATACCCCAACGAAGTGCTCCAAAGGCTAACTTAAGGAGATAAGGTCTTGAATTCGACATCTTCCATCTAATGAGACGTCAATCGGTTAGAAAGTCCTACCTCAGAATATTTGCCAGTGGCAGAGGTAGGACCACAGCCTAGCTCCTGGGCTCCAAGGTCTAACAGCTAATAAATGGAACTCCATAGATTTGTTTTGTCTTGTTTGAGAGTTTTACTATATAACCTAGGCTGTCTGCAGCCCAAGCTAGCTCCCTGTCCTCCATCCTCTTGCCTTGGCCTCCGCACACCTGAAGAGATCTTTTAGTTCATAGGAATGCAATTTGAATATTCTGGGCTCATCCTTATAGAATAAAGTCCCCGACTTGTGTGACCATCACCCTGCATGCAGAGCTTTGCCATGGTTCTTAGCACACTGCATAAGAATCCTACCACTTGAACTCTAATTAATCCTTTGTGATTCACGCAGCTCCATCTAGAACCTAACTTTAGACAGCGGCATTCACTGTGTCTTAGTTTCTTGGTTTCTTGGTACAGGTTTTAATGTCAGTAGCATTCTGTGCATATATTACCTTTGTTTTCTCTGAGACAGGTCTCTTGGGACCCAGGCTGGCTTTATACTTGCTATCTAACCAATGATGACCTCAACTCCTAATCTTCCTGCCTCCATCTTCCAAGTGTTGGGATTACAGGTATGTACAACACTCAGTTTAGTTTTCTAATAGTAATAAATATATTTTCAATTTTGAAAAATAATGTAATGCTGAGGATAATGATAGTAGTCAGCGCTCAGTGACAGTTATGTACATTTCTCTGATACCTTACTTGCCCTAGTGGCATGAGACCTACCAGATGTTCCATCTTCTGTGTGCTTAAGCCCTTGGAAGACTTGACTGTAAGATTCTAAACTTAAAGATGGACCCTCTTATTTACTTATGTGAGTGGACATATGTGCCACAGTGTGCACGAAGAAGTCAGAGGACAACATGTGGGAAGTAGTTCCTTTTTTCTGTCATGTGGGTCCGAAGGATCAAACTCAGTTGTCAGGTTGACAGCAATCACCTCTCCCCTCTGAGCCACCTCAAAGTCCCTGATATCTCTTCCTCTCCTCTCCTCTCCTCTCCCTCTCCCTCTCCCTCTCCCTTTCCCTCCCCTCCCCTTCTCTCTCTCTCCTCTCTCTCTCTCTCCTCTCTCTCTCTCTCTCTCTCTCTCTCTCTCTCTCTCTCTCTCTCTCTCTCTCTCTAAAAATGGAAGGCAGAGCTGGGCATGATTGTGCATGACTGTAAAAGTACCACTCAGAAATTCAAGGCCAGTCTGGTCTAAGTAGTGAGTTCTAGGCTACCAGGGCTGTATAATGAGACTCTGTCTCAAATGAAAGATGGGGGCAGAGACAGAATGAGAGCTGAAGGGGAAGAGAGTTAACTGAAACTAAAGATGTACATATGAAAAAGCCACATGGAAACCTACTATTTTGTTAGCCAATTGTTTGAAAAAAGTAGTTTGAAGTGAAGTACCCTGTACGAACGGACAATGTTGCTCCCACAAGTCATAGGTTGTTAAACAGAAACGCCAGAACCAGGTGTAGGATACCTCCTTGTGGTCAGCAAGGACCCAGAGGCCCCCCCCCCCCCCCAAAAAAAAAAAAACCAACACAGGCTATTTCCATTTATCTTAGATAATAGGATAACCTATTATTGTTGCTTTGCTAAAATGACATGGTATCAAAGTGCCTTCTAAATGTTTCTGTTTACAGCCATAGATTGGTGCTGCTCTCAGCCTTGGTCGGGAGCGTCTGTTTGCAGTAGGTGATGGTTAATGTAGAGACTCAACACTGGATAAAGTACTGAGCAGAAGTGACTGTGGACATCTGTTTTGACTCCTCAAGGCTCAGGGAACATCATGGAGGACACCCCACATGCCACCTACTGGATTCCATCCCTTGCTGTGAGACATTTTGATTTCAGCTCAGCTGCCCTTCATTCGCCAGAGCTCTGTATGGAAGTCACAGTGAGATGGACTCCGCTACCCTAGGTACATTGCTAGCTCTTCCCTGCCCCATGGACCTATCGCGTGACTTGCGTCCCAAACCCCAGGGGATTGAAGCCTTTAAGGTCCTGACCCAATACACATAGATTTTAATCTCCAAGACTTCCCGGCAAGAGTTGGGATTGGTTAGAAGTGAAGTAGATTTTACTTTTGTATCCTTGAGACTTGGCCATGTTCTTGACTGTTCTTATATCCAAAGTGTTGAGTCGAATGTCCACTACAAAGTGGTGGTAAGGGATGAAGTCCCCGTTCCCGCAGTGGTTGCAGCGGTGGGCACTTTCCTCCAAAAAGCGGGCACATTTCAAATGCAAGACTTTCTTCTGGTCCTTGAGCCACAGTTCATAGGCTGTTTTCTGCATTATAGGCCTGCAGAACCGCAGCACGTGGCACTCAATCACCTCCCCTTCCATTTCACGGAGCTCCTCTTCACTAAGAACTAGAAGGAGAAGGAAGGACTCTTCAGTCAGGCAACAGGCAACATTCCAGCTGCTCCTTCCTAACACACATCAGTTCCTTATGTTTTTTTTGGTAGGTTGTTTTTGTTTTGTTTTGTTTTGAATTGTGTGGTATTGGGGATTAAACCCAGGGCAATGTGCATGCAAGGCCAGTGCTCTCTCTCTCCACTACATCTCCAGTCCTCTTAGCCTTTTCATCTAGATATGCCTCTAACCAAGGGGCATACAGATGTTTTCCAGGCACCACTCACCTAAGCCCTCGTTGGACTTGAGGGACATAGAGCGATAATGCACCTCAAACGTGGTCACATTCTGTTTCAGGGCTAGTTGAAGATCTTTGCTGCTCCGGAAGCAATCAAAAACATTGGACTTCACTAGAGTGGCCAGGGCCTTGATCATGGTTTTCATGTTCCAGCAGGGGAGAATCTCAAACAACAGCTCCGTGGTGAAGGTTAGGCCAATGATGGCGGCACATCGCACCAGCATCTGATGGGAAAGGCTCATGCTGTCCAGCTGGACCAGAGAGATTTCTGTGGGTGGAAAAGCCACACAATGGGACACATGTTATCCACTGTCATCAGATGCATGCTTGAGGCGGATGACTGTCCAGAGCTACAATTCTTGTTTGTAGAAACATAGCTAAGCCAAGTCAAAAGAAGTAATTGCTTAGTACCCAATTTATAGATATCCCTCATGCTGGGAACATACAAGATGCAGTTTCTATGGTCTGTCTATATGACATGAATAAGACGGATTTTAGGGTATTCTAGATTAGTGTTGAAGGACGACAAAGCTATATGAGAAGTCACAGGAGGCCATTATAGTCAGGTTTCCCATTCTTGTCTATTGAAGACTTCCCCAGCTGTCCCATCTGTCTTCACTGGCTCTCCTTTCCCTGAACCCACTCAGCAGTAAGTACAAGGCTCTCCCTATCTGTTCAAGGGATTCATTTATGCTCAGGACACACATAATCATCTCCATTGTATGAGCAAGGCTCAAAGAGCCTAGAGCACCAGTCCCAACTCTTCATCTAAGCATGAACATAGTTCATGTGTTCCTGGTCTTTTGGTTTTGGGGGTGTATGTAGTGTGTGTATGTATGTGGGGTGTGTGTGTGTGTGTGTGTGTGTGTGTGTGTGTGTGTGTGTGTGTGTGTGTTTGTGTGTGTTTTCTGGGGCCTCAACTCAGGGCCCCCAAGCATGCTCAACAACTTGCTCTACTACTGAGCTACATCTCTAGCCCCTTTTAGACACTTTTTAAAATAAGATTTATTTATTATGTACACAGTGCTCTTATCTGTCTGTATGTATGCCTGCAGGTCAGAAGAGGGCACCAGATCTCATTTTAGATGGTTGTGAGCCACCATGTAGTTGCTGGGAATTGAACTCAGAACCTCTGGAAGAACAGCCAGTGCTCTTAACCACTGAGCCATCTCTCCAGCCCCTAGACACTTAAGATTTTTTTTTTTTACTTATATGTGTGAATCTGTGTCAGGACATGTTCACTGAGTGCATTGGAGGCCAGAAGACAGTGTCAGACCCCCCAGGACTGGAATTACAGGGGCTGTAAGTCACCCTGTGGGTGCTGGAAACAGAACCCAGGTCCATTGCAAGAGCAGTCTGGAATCATCTTTCCAGCCCCCCTCTTGGACATTTTATATCCATTATACATAAAATTTGAATTTCTCAACATGTTCACAGAACACAGGTAGTTGGAAGTTGAAAGTAAGTTAGGATACCTTCACACTTCAGGAGACTCAGTGAATGAAACAAATAATTGTTGTTACAATCAAAAAAACATTTGATTGTAAAAGCTGTTGAGTTATGCCAAAATGTATATTTTAAGGTACCTTGACTTCAAAATTTGGATGTAAGGATATGTTGCTTTGGAAAGGAGGCTCTGCTTTTGTTTCCACAGAAAGCCAGAGGCTATGGATTTGTTCCAGATTAAGATACATCAGGTTTGACCAGCCAAGACCCCCTGAAAGGTCTCCAATGACACCATGGCCCAGATGATCCAACATCCAGAACTGTTTCAAGGCAGCTGGCTCAGATGATACACCCTCACGGACTACTCCATAATCCTAAAATTTTCTTTGTGCCTCCATAAGATACAGCGCCCCCTTCCAGCAGAAAGTAGTAAGAGAAGCTATGCCCAAATTCCCAAATATACCAAGCTGTCTTTGGAGATGGAATCGGCTCACTCCCTCTCTAAACCCAGACATATTGCTAAAAAAAAAAAAAAAAGGTTAAGAGATTCTTGTGTCCCAAATCAGAAGAGCCCTCTGGTGTAGGACAGAAACAAAAACAAAAACAAAACAATATTTTTATTTAAAACAGGTTAATTATAAATGCGATCTCTTTCTAAAAAAGAAAAGGGGATATGATATAGATATATAGGATATAGAGATGATAGGATAAAAGGGTAGATTAATGAACCTCCTTTTAAAGAGCAACAACTTGTTTAAAATGTTTTACATTGGTATAGATTTTAGTTTATGTTTAAAATGTTTTACATTGGTATAGATTTTAGTTTATGTTTAAAATGTTTTACATTGGTATAAATTTTAGTTTATTGATACAAACTTAAAAGTTAATTTTGTTATACTGTGTGTATATTTCTACTCTTGTTTAAGGTGTTATGTTTGTACAGCTCATTTAAAATTATAATGGATAATTAAAAATAGATTAATAATTAGTCATCTATGATAATCATACTCGTAGTCATGTTAGTTAAGTTTTCTAGGCATACATAGATATATTTCAGATAGACAGGTAATCTTCAAATACTTCAAAGACCTACAGAATATGGCATTTAAAATATTTTTAAAAATTTAGACTTTCTGGACAATAAGACATATCTGCTCCTGGCAGCACCGATTTACTTCAGAGAGGAGGATGGGCATCGAAGACACTCCATATGGAGTTTATCTTCACCTTGGCAAAATAGCCATTTGGGAAAGAAACTCTTCTTGCCTGGACTGCTTGATCGACTAGACCTGCAGGACCCATGAAAAGGTAACCACTGAACTTTGCTTGGCAAAATGATCCTTTAGGTTCCTGCTTCACAGAGAAAACTGCCAGACATTCTACAGGTCACAGAAAAATGACTGAGAGGCTCTAGGCCTGTGGGCTGAAGACAGATGCCCCAACTTTACAAGAGAAATTTGGATGATTGTCCAGGCTGCCAGCTGTATCTGTCTACCCTGCAAGACTCCCAAAAGTTGCTTGCATCATTCTCCCATTTCTCAGGTAATATTATATCCTTCTGAGGTCTTTGATGTAGTTGAAGCTAGATAGTTATAATTTTCCTTAGTTCTGATAAAAGGTAAGTTAGATATGAAACCTTAGACTCACAAATATAAGATAGATAGGATATCTTCTTTAATTTTGCCAAATAGACTAGTTATTATAAATAGACTAGATATTATAACTGTAATTCTTGCTTGATAATTGTTTTGTTATATGTAATTTTACTATGTTAAAGTTAAAACTTTCTTTTTTGAAAAAGAAGAAAAGGGGAAGTGCTGTGGATATCGCTCTATATAAATAAAACACTGATTGGTCAATAGCCAGACAAGAAGTATAGGCGGGACTAACAGAGAGGAGAATGGAGGAAACAGGAAGGGAAGGGAGAGACTGCCTGGAGCCGCTGCCAGGACAAGGAAGATGTAAGGTACCAATAAGCCACAAGCTACGTGGCAAAGTATAGATTAATAAAAATGGGCTAAATATAAGAGTATAGATTAATAAAAATGGGCTAAATATAAGAGTAAGAGCTAGACAATGATAGGCCTGAGCTAATGGCCAAGCAGTTTAAATAATGTAAGAGTCTGTGTGTTTATTTTATAAGTGGGCTCCGGGACTGGCGGGACTTGGCGGGAGCTGGAGAGAAATTCTCCAGCTACAGACAAAGACTCCAAGTGACCCTAGGCCATCCTTCCAAACATTTAAAGCTACTTCTGGATGGCATAGATTGGAGCTACATGCAGGCTACAAAATGAATTCGAATTCATTGTCCTTGAGTGAAACAATACATCTTAAATACAAGCTCTTTGTCATTTCTTTCTCCTATTGTCTATGTTAGAAAATGTCTCAGTGTTTGATTTTTCTTTCTTATGATTGGTTTCAGCTTAATTAACAATACATTACACTCCATTATTTGTATATGTATATATGTGCGAATAAATGTTTGTATTTACACATGTACTTACACGTGCTTGTTTGTGTGTGTGCACTTAGAAGCCAGAAGTCCACATTGAAAGCCATCTTCAATCACACTTCACCTTATTTACTTACTTTTCTTGTTTGATTTTTGAAACAGGTTTCTCTGTGTAACCATAGCTGTCCTGGAACTCACTCTGTAGACCAGGCTGGCCTAGAACTCGGAGATCCACCTGCCTCTGCCTCCCAAGTGCTGGGATTAAAGGTGTGTACCACTACTCCCAGCCATCTTATTTTTTGAGATGGGGTCTGTAGTAGTTTGAATGAGAATGTCCCTCATAGGCTCATATGTTGGTCTCCTGTTGGTGGAACTGCTTAGGAAGGATTAGGAGGTGTGGTCTTGTTGGAGGAAGTGTGTCACTGGGGGTTGGCTTTGAGGTTTCAAAAGCCCACACCATTCCCGGTTAGCTCTGTCTCCTACTTATAGATAAGGATGTAAGCTCTCAGCTACCATTCCAGCACCATGCCTGCCTGCTTGTTGCTGTGTTCCCCACAGTGATGGTCATGGGCTCTAACCCTCTACAAAAATATGAGCTCAGGATTAAATGTTTTCTTTTATCAATTGCCTTGGCCATGGTATTTGGTAATGGCAATAGAAAAGTAAATTAGCTTGGTTTTTTTTTTTTTTCCACACAACCTGACACTCGCCAATTCAGCTAATCTGGTAGACCCTAAGTCTCAGTGAGCCTCCTATCTTTACCCCCTCAGGACTGGGACTAAAAACATGTGCCACCATGCCTGATGAGTTCTAGAGATTGAACCCAGGTCCTTCCTGTTGCCTGCACAACAAGCACCTTACCCACGGAGCTGCCTCCCCAGCTCTTTACATGTCACTCTTTTGTGCGTTTGAATAAGCATTTGTTCAATCCAGAATACATACAGAGGGAAGGAGGCTCCTAACCAGAGGGAGAAAAAGCAGACCCTCTGTACAGCCTGCCTACCACCTGGGGCAACACAAAGCGCACGCTCAGAGAACTTGGTTCTCACAGTCATCCTAAAAGAGGCCAAAGTAAAACTGACTGAGAACTTGAATGTGAGTTCAATTTTCTGTACCTTTTAGTGATGCTGGAGGTGACAGGTTCTTCAGTCTGACACCACTTACAAGGTAACAGACTTCCTTACGCCCCTCAGAGATGTTAGTATAAGGCTCCATGTCTTCTGTTGGCCTAACCGAATTCTCTATGGGGAGACAAGAGGGCAGGGAAGTTGAGAATCATTATCCTGTTTTCAAAAGGCCTGGATTTCCCAGAACACTTTGAGAAGAAACTCAGGTGAGAAAGACTAAACAGAGACATGTCAGTTCACCAAATGTTCCAGAACATCTTGTTTTTAAATAAAACTGATACGTGACAATCTAAATTAACTCAAATTATTTTGTTTCCCACCCTCCAGAACAAGAATTGGTACTATTGGTAGCTCCATAATACATTTAACATTACAAAAATGGGGTTCACAGCCAAGCTAGACTGCATCCTATCACACACAGCAATATAGAGCTATGCGCTCATTCATATTCCTGTTGGGCTTATAAGGACATGGCTATAGCCAGAGGGAGGTTTGACATGGTCAGGCTTGAGAATAAACATGCCTACTAAGTTGGTCTACCCATACTCCAAAACGTTTATCCTTTAAGTCATTCATCTAACACTTGGTGGGTGAGGCAGAAACATAAAGGTAAATAAAGTCAAGTTCCTCGTGATTGAAGAGATGAATCATGCATCCAAAGACTGCCAGGCAGTAAGTGGCTCACCGGTGAGCTCAAACTGTAAGTAATAGACAGTTCGTATGGATATATTTATTAAAAACTTTCAATGCAACGTAATGTGTGAGGGTGACCAGCAAGAACAATGCATGCTTCCAGGCCTCTCGGGGCATAAAACTATAAGGATAGATATCCAAGTAATTAACCAAAACACTAGGAAGAGTGAGCAAGAGCTAACAAGCAAGAGTAACATGTTGTTGGAATAAAATCAAATGAAGGGTTCAAAAAGGTTCTGATCAGGCTCAAACTCACAGAGATCTACATGCCTCTGCTTCCCGAGTGCTGGAATTAAAGGCATGTGCCATTACTACCACCCAACTGAGTGTACATTCTTTAGCCCAGCCCTGGAAGTCTAGGTTAGCTGGGTTTCCTTAGTACTTAGGACCCTAGATCTAGGGCTTTTTCACTCTCTTGGAAGCCATCTTCCACAGGAAGCAGCCCGTGGGCTAGCCCCAATCCTTGCCAACTTCTCTGCAAAAAGATTCAGTGACGGAGCAATAGTGAGGAAGGGCTACTTACTGAACAGGTTACTCCAGGTCACGTTTGTCTTTTCCTCGGTCTCTGCTTGTTGAAATAGGAGGACTTTGTGGTGGTCGAGGTTTTTCAGCAGTTCCTCACAGTAAAATGGAATCCCACAGCTCCCCTCCACAAGGTACCTGCAGGGGAAACAAGTATTTCCGTGAAGAAAGAACAGACTATTCTCGGCCATCTGAGAACGGTCTCCTCTCCTCCTCCATGTGCTTCACCTTGTTTAAGTTTGGGGACTGAGTTTTCTTCTTTTTTGTTTTCAGGGCTAGGGACTGTGCATGCCGAGGCATGACCTATGGTCTCCGCTCTTAGTTCACAGTTAAAGTTATGTAACAAATGTGTATGTTTCCAGAACTGAAACTACATCCTCTGGTCTCACTTCTCCTTCCTCACGCTGTAGGTAATGATTCTGATTAGCTTTGGTTAATTCCGTCAATGTTTCTTGAAAAAATATAAACAGGTTCTAGCAACATAGTTCGATGGTTAAAGACACTTCCTGGGCAGGTCTGACAACCTGAGTTTGATCCCCAGAACTCATGTAGAAGGAGAGAGTCAACTCTCAAGGGGTGTCGTCTTGCCAACACACACACACACACACACATTTTATTTGTTACCTCTCTCTCTCTCTCTCTCTCTCTCTCTCTCTCTCTCTCTCTCTCTCTCTCTCTCTCTCTCTCTGTGTGTGTGTGTGTGTGTGTGTGTGTATGTGTGTAAACAGGAGCCTGTTCACACCTTGTCATGGAAGGGAGAGGGGCCCACCTTTCCTTGAGATTTTTATATGTTGTTAATGGGGAAGGGAAAGACATTTTCTTCACTGGTCACTGTAAGAGTCGTTTTCTCCGTGGAGTCACGGTAAAGTGTCCACTCTCCTGTAACCAACCCTTCACCCATGCTACTGTAAGCAGCCTTAATCACACACACACACACACACACACACACACACACACACACACACACACACACACAGTCAGGAATGTAGAAAGCAAGTTGTCTGGTGAAGAGAAAATTGAATAACAGGAATAAGAGTTGGACAAGAGAAGCTAACAGGTGTGGGGTGAACTTAATGTACATAATATACACATATGAAAAGGTCATAATGAAGCTCGTGTGTAATTAATAGGTGATAATAAAGTAAACACACATAGATTCCACCACACACACCTCTATCTTACTTTTTAAGACAATAATTTAAGTTTTATATGTGTGGGTGTTTTGCCTACATGTATGTCCATGCACCACATGCATGCCTGATGCTCTCAGTGGCAATTAGATCCCCTGGAACTGGAGGTCCAAATGGTTGTGGACTCACCATATGGATGCTAGGAACCAAACCCTGCCCTCTGGAAGAGCAGCTCACACTCCTAACTGCTGAGCTCCCTCCAGCTCTTGTCTGACGTTTCTGTTAGTATGCATGCATACTAACAGAAACCAGGCATGCTAGATTATACCTCACTTTTCTCCAGTCCACAATGGATCCTAGTTAGTCCTCCACGCCAGCAGATGTTTCTCACTCTCTTGTTATTCCCATCACCCGCTGGATGGATTCACCATACTTTATTGAACTTCACCACTAAGGGATGAATATTTGAGTTGCTCCTAGTGTTTTATTAACGTAAGTAAAAGCCTCAAGGAAAAGTTTGTACATCATTTTTAAAGTTTTTGTCACACATTTACGATAGATCCCTAGAAAATTTAGGATTGGTAGATCGGATGATATTTGACTAGGGACTTAGATCAGTAGCCTCAGTGTTTGCCTTGTATGTGTAAGGGCCTTGGTTCTATGAGAGAGAGAGGAGAGAGAGAGAGAGAGAGAGAGAGAGAGAGAGAGAGAGAGAGAGAGAGAAAGAGAAATGACTGTATACACTTGTAATCCCAGAGGGGGAGAGAGAAAACACACTTCTAATTCCAGCACTTGGGAGGATAGGAAGGTGGATCCCAAGTTTAAAGTCAGGCTGGACTACATAATAAGATCTTGTCTCAAAAAAAAAAAATCCCTTAACATGGGCTAAAGAGATAACTCAACAGGTAGGAATTATGCTGCATGAGAACCTGGGTTCAAATTCCTGAACCCATGTAAAGAGCTTGGAGTGGGCACACATGTAGACAGGAGGATTGGAATTAGTTTTTAGCCTAGCTCTAGGTTCTGTGAGAGGCCCTGTCCCAAGGTAATAGGTGGAGAATGACAGAACAGGACACCTGATATCCTCCTCTGGCCTACACACACACTCACACACACACACACACACACACACACACACACACACACACACACACACAGATTTATATACCTGCATATACATGTGCATATTTACCACATACATTCACACATACATAAACATACTTACACACACATGCATGTGCACACGCACATATATACACACAGCAAATGGCAAAAACTAAATGAAAACACAAAAAATAGGCTTTCTATTTATAGTTACATACACATACATCCATCATATGTATATGAGAATCACAAACACCTCCCCATGTGTGTATGAGAAATCCATTCCTTGAGTTGTACTAAGCGAGCCCTGGTCCCATGCATCTCTCTTCCTTGAGTAGGGTAACCTAAATAAAAAGACCTGGTGTTAAGTGTCTGTAATCCCAGTGCTTAGGAAGCCAAGACAGGAGGCTTTCTATGAGGTGGCACAGTAAACATCAGCCCAGCCAGGACTGCACAGCAAGATTATATTTCCAACCAATTGAAACAAAACAAAATGAAAAAGCAAAATGGAACAGAATGATTGACACCAGCGTGGCCAGCTAAAGGGTCTAGTTGTTAAGGGGGCTGCTGTCCAGGTCCTAGGAGAAGAATCACTGACGATCTCAGAACACACTCCTAAGAGTCAATTTTCAACCTCTGTCTCAGACTGGGAACCCTACCACCAGCCCCCTATCACAAGCCAGATAAGACCTTGCCAAGCTGCAGGTGTGGTTTGCACAGCTTACCCAACCTCCCTTTCCTGTCCATCCCCAAACACACGTGATCATGCTCTTGGTTACTGCTCGTCAAAGGAGGCAGGTCCATACCCAGCATGATGAAAGGGGAGCAGATCCACTAAGCAGTGCTTGAGGAGAAGTAACAGGGATCCACATCAAGGAGGTGATCCACACACATCTTACGAAGCATCATGTGTGGCTCCTTCAAAGGGTGGGACAGCACAAGCATTGAAATCATCATGTCAAAAAAACAGCCCAACCCAGGGAGGGGAGATGGCTCGGTTGGAGAAGTGTTTGCCACATAAGCCCAAGGACCTGAGTTCAGATCCCCAACACCCACATGAAAGCAGGGTTGTTGTGGTGTGCATCTGTAATTCCAGCTCTGGAGAGGCAGAGTCCAGAGGATCCCGGAGGCTCACAGGACAAGTTAACTGAATCAATGGACTGCAGGTTTGGGGAGACAACATGACTCAAAAATCAGGTGGGGAACAATTCAGGGAGATAGCCGGCATTGACCTCTGGCCTCCACATGTATCCACATGAACATGTTTATAAAACACACACACACACACACACACACACACACACACCCCACAGCCCAAGGGATCCATCTGATAAAGTTCAGACCTGGGCGATCAGTACAAGGGTCAAGAGCTTGGGATAGGAGGAGGTTACTTACGAGTCCAGCTCTTGGGGGATGCTGCTTACACTAAGGTCGACACAGACCTTGTCCCGTATTTCCTGAGGCTGCATGGTACCAAGTGTGATATAGGTGGTGTTCCGGTTCTTCATGATGGCACTGGCAGCCACACAGGGAACGTCTGGGAAGGGAGACAGGGACATGATGATGAAGATGGGCATAGATTGGATGAGCTTTTCTATGAAGGCCCAGGAGGTTCCATCCACAAACTGAGCCTCATCAATGATGAAAATAATCCTTTCTTCTCTCACTGTCTGGAAAAGGGAGAGAAACAGAAACATGCTAGAACACTCTGGGATCTTGTGCATGGGTATGTGGGGAATTTGTATTTACTGAGTTTTATGATTTGCACTAAGTAGACCAGGCTGGCCTCCAAATCACAGAGATAGACCCACTGTACCATGTCTCCAGAGTGCTAGAATTAAAAGTGTGTGTCACCCCAAACACCAGCTAGTGGTGACTTTATAAAGAGGGAAGCCAAGGAGAGGAGGGAGGGGGGGAAGGAAGGAAGGACACATGAAACACTAAAGCCAGGTGTGGCACACACCTGTGATTCCAGCACTTGGGAGATGGAGACAGGAGGATCAGGAGTTCAAGGCTACCCTTCACTATATCATGAGTTCAGAGTCAGCCTGAGCCACAAGAGACCCGTTTTCAAAACAAACAAAACCCCAGGATAAAGTGCATTTTTAGTATGCCAAAATCAAAGGAAAAGGAAAAGGAAAAAAAAAAGATAATGTAAATTTGTAGGGTAAGTAGGGCTATGGTGTACCTGCAAAGTCAAAGGGAAAAAAGAAAAACAAAATGGCAAACAATGTTCATTACATAAAAATAATGACCATGACAGCTAAAAGTCATTTTAATCTACTGACAAATGATAAATGGTCCTGGGAATATATCTTTTTTTTTTTTTTTTTTGGCAACATATACATAAGCACCATGGACTCTGCTCCCGATACTGCTTGGTGACTTACACTATTTTGGTTTAAACTCTGGTATAGGTTACACCTTAAATAGATTGCGTATCCTTTTTCTGGTACAGGCTACAACTAGTCTGAATTATTCATCTGCTCATTAAGCATTTAGTGTCTATCTATTAGGGTTGTGTACAGTTCCGGGTGTTGGAGACATGCAATAGACCGTAAATGCACAATCTTCCTGCCTCAGCCTCTCAAGTCCTAGGATCATGTGTGTGCCACTGTGTTGGATATATGTGTGTATGAATTATTTCATTTTCTTAAGATTTATTGAGAGAGAGAGAGAGAGAGAGAGAGAGAGAGAGAGAGAGAGAGAGAGAAGAGAGAGAGAGAACATGAGTGCAGGTGTCCACAGAGGCCAGAAAGAGTTACCACTCTTTCTTGTGGAGCTGGAGTGGACATGGGTGCTGGGAACTGAACTCAGGTCCTCCTAAGTCCTGAATCATCTCTCCAGCTCCTCTATATCTGAATTCTGAACAGACTCAGCTCAGGTTTGGAAAGATGGGGAGAAGGAAGCACTAGAGGATATGCCTTTCACATGCTTCCAAAACTCTTTGAAAAGGCTGAGTCGCTTGGGGCAGCTGGCTTTGTGATCATTTGCCTAGTTTCCTCCCCCGGGGCTTGTGACCCACATGTGCTCTTACTTTCTCCAAGATCTTCATAAACAGTGCTTCCAGTTGCTTTTGTTTTCTTAATGGGCTCATCTTGGACATCTCCCGGGAAACAGGGAACTGTACAGAGAGTGAGAGTGTTGAGCAGAGGGTAAAAGCAACGGGAACAACCAGCCAAGTGACTCCGAGCATCACTTCAACCGTTCTGCAGCTTAGGATGCTCAAATGTTACATCCCGCAGTACCCTCCCTGGCTTGAATCCTCTCTGTCACTCAATAGAACAGTTTTAGGAAAGAAAAGGACACACTCTTGCCTTTATAGATGATGTCACCTTTGGCAACAGGGTGACTTTGAGCCCTGGATCCAACAGGACAGCAGAGTTATGAGGGAACATGACAAACACTGAATAAGTGGCCATTTGGACTTCCCCAAGTATGGCGTTTTTAGCTATCTCCATCGTCTTACAAGAACATGCTACAAGGGGGTGTGGGTGTGGCTCAGTGGCAGGACAAGAGCTTAGCACGTGTGGGCCCTAAGTCCACCCTTAAGTCCTATAACGAACTAAATAAATGGAAATTTAAAAAATGTGTGCTGTTTAAAGTGGGTTAATTAGCTAGACTTCAAAAACCTTAAGTGTTTGTGTATAAGAGGGACTTGCATTATCATTTTGGCTTACCTGAATGTCTTTAGGACTTGAACTAGATATTAACTAAGTGATTAAACACATTTTTTTTAGATTTATGTGCTTGAGTGTTTTGTCTTCATGTATGTATATGCACCAAGTGCATGCCTGCTGCCCACAGAGGTCAGAGGAAGGTATCGGATCTCCTGGAATGGGAGTTATGAATGGTCGTGAGCCACCATGTGGGTGCTAGGAACTGAATCCGGGTCTTCTGCAAAACAACAAATGCTCTTAGCCATCTCTCTAGCCCCTTGACTAAGTGTTTTAAAGATTTTTAACTATGTGTATTTGTATGTGATTATGTATGAGTCTCTGCACGTGAGTACAAGCACCCACAGAGGGCAGCAGAGGGCATCGGATCCCCCTAGAGCTGGAGTTACAGGCAGTGGTTGGTTGGTTGGTTGGTTGTCAGCTGCCCAGTGTGGATGCTGGGGGTCTAATTCAGGTCCTCTGCATCAGCAGTACATGCTTTTAACAGATGAGCTCTCTCTCTGGCCCCAGATGACTAAGTTGTTTTAAAAAATGAATAGAAATGCACTTCAAGGAGAACGGAGAGACATTTTCTTTATACTTGGATACTGCAGAAACAACTAGAAAAGGATAGGACAGGTGTGCTGGCTAATTTTATGTCAACTTGACACACTCTAGAGTCATCTGAGAGGCAGGAACCTCAAATGAGAAAATGCCTCCTTAAGATCTGGCTGCAATCAACCTATAGGGCATGTTCTTAATTAGTGATTAATGAGAGAGGGCTACTCCTTGGTCAGTGGTCCTGGGTTCTTTAAGAAAGCTGATGGGTTTGGTGGCACATGCCTTTAATTCCAGCGCTCTGGAGGCAGAGGTAGGCAGAGCTCTGTGAATTCGAGGCCAGCCTGGTTCTACAAGAGTTCCACAGAGAAACCCTGTCTCAGAAAAACAAAACAACAAAAGCAGACTGAGCAAGCCATGGGGAACGGGAAACAAGCCAGTAAACAGCACCCCTGCATGGCCTCTGCATCAGCTCCTGCCTCCAGGTTCCTGCCCTGTTTGAGTTCCTGTGCTGACTTCCTTTGATGATGGACTATGATCTGGAAGTGTAAGCCAAATAAACCCTCCCCCCCCCTTTGCTTTTGGTCATGGTGTTCCATCACAGAAATGTTATTCTAAGACAAAGGTTAAAGCCACACAAAGTCACATAGCACCAGACAGGCAGGAGCTGCTATGCTTGGCCCATAGCTATTGGACTCTAATAGTGCTGGACTCTAATGCAAGCTAGTTACCTGGACATGGAAGATGTCATTAAGAAGACAGTGGAATTTGTCATCCAAGAGCATCTTGACTTTATTTTGAAGACTGGTCTGTCGTTCTTTGTAATGTTTACAAGTATCTAGACCTAGTACATTAGCCATGAATATCTGGATGGTATAAAAATTTTGATGGAAGCTGATCTTAGTCAGTGCAATAGCAATAGCCCTGTTCATAAGACAATCGAGAATCAGGAGAACATTTTAAATACAGTCCCTGGAAAAAGCAAGGCCTGAGGGAAGTTCTGATTTCTCATACTCAGCTGCAAGGACGGAGATTTATCGAGCCACTGGGAAGCTGCTCTTTATTTCTGCTTCCGGTATCCCAACCCCTCCATCATTCCACTATGTTAACCTAGTTATCGTCTCCCTAGTTTGCTGGCACTGCCCGGCACCAGGCTTCCTTAGACTTGTGCCTATCCTGCTACAACAGCATGCCACTTCCGGTGCCTGCTGTCATTCAGCCCTCTGAAGGCACCTCCTTCAGGAACCTCAGTGAGGGAGTGAGGCTCAGATTTGGCGGGGGAGGGCTGGGGATATAGTTCAGTGGTACAACATTGGCCTGGCGTGTGTGAAGCCTGGAGTCTGCACCCTAGTACTACCCCGGGCAACCCAAAACCTGAACAAAACCAACAAAACGAGGCAGATCTCGCAGCACTTTCCTATTTAATGCTCTCCGGGGTTCCCATGGCCTATTTTGTGTGATGGTCAGACTCACCAAGTCTCCATCTGTCCTATCTCGCTCCTGCCTAGACTTCTACCCTCTACCACCACCAAGTATAAGAGTTCCCTATAAAGCCAGGCTGGGTCTCCTCTCTAGGACTTTGCTTTCTGCTTATCCAGGGATTAGTTAGCACTGATCACAGCCCCTCTTTTGCAGTGGCCTCTTGGAAGACTTTCCTGGTGGCCTGAATTTAGGCTACCTACCTCGTCTTTGCGTTTCTGCAATATTCTACTGCATGCCTCTGCCACCGCCCTCCCCACATTCTCTCTTCCTTATCATCTTCTCTTCTAAGCTCCTTGAGAGGAGGGATCATATGGCACTCATACTCGGGGCACTGACATACTGGGAGCTGACTGGTGGTCTCCAAAATTCATGTGTTCCAACTTCCGCAGAATGCGGCCTTGTGTGGGAACAGCGTGATTGCAGAGAATCAATTAAGATGAGACTGTAATTTGAGCTGGGTGTGGTGGTGCGTGCCTGGAATCTCAGCATTCAGGAGGTGGAGCTAAGAGGATCAGGAGTTCAAGGCTAGCCTGGGCTACATGAGCTCCTGCCTGTAAGTAATACATATGTATAATGAGTAACTATGTATACACAGAAAACACACAGGGAAATGCTGTGTGAAGGTAGAAATTTAGGTGGTGTGTCTCTTCAAGCACCAGAAGCTAGAAAAGAGCAGGAGGGAGTTTTCTTAGTCCTGTGAGGGTGCCGAGCCGACGCCGCCTGGATTGGGCTCTTAGCCTTTCTGCTTTGTGTACTTGGTTCCAGTAGCCTGCTAACTAATACAGCACCTAGCAGTTCGTGAAGCATAGTGGGAACTTAGTAAGTAGTGTAATGACTCAGTGTTTCCTGCTGTGATTATCCCCTTTTGAAACTGGCTTTTCTTAGGCCTGACATTACAGAGTGACAGAAGTTGGATAAAAATAAGAGTATCAAGCACTTCCACCTTATATCCTCTTTAGGTTATGAGGGGAAGACACGAGACACTGTTGTCACGATCGTGGTCATCATGACTGTGCAATCTAGTCCCTCAGAGTGGCAGACAGCTGATCCCAGAGAGGGTCCTTCCAGCACTTCTTGGTTGAAAACACAGTATGAAGGAAGTACACACACACAAGCTCTGCCCTCCAGATTCAAAGTCTAGTGGCCCAGCATTCTTTAGCCCCATTCTCAAAACTAAAGGGCTTAAAGCAGCAGCCCCCTACCAGGTTCCCCAGACAGACCCCAACTGTGGTTGCCACATTTCTGCTAGATGTTACAACCTACCTAGACACTGGGGTTAAGCAGGAAGTTTCCAAGTCCCCAAACTTGCCCTAACATTAACTTGGGTTTTTTTCAGAAATCTGCCTCTTTTCTCTTCCTCTTGGTTTGAAACTCTCTCACTAATCACCTACCTAATTCAGCTACCAGAGTCATCATTCCCCAACAGCTGCAGTTATCGAGTTCACTGAAGGCAAGTTATAGACAGGAGAAGACACCAAAATAAGGGAAATTCTTTTAAGGATGCCAATATTTCCGACGTCACAAGAAACACAATTTCAAGACACACTTACCTGTGGTTCTCAGGCTCGGAGGCCAGGCACTTGATTTTCATAAGTATCTGGCTTTTTCCATACCCTGGTAATCCTTCATACATCAGAACTCGGCTGCAGCTCCTTATCAGAAAGTCCTCCATAGCGGACATGAAGTAGTCGATCTCCCTAACACGTCCTGGTGTTTAGTTTTTTAAAGGAGCAAACCCATCGACAGAAAATAGTTTAGAAATAGACTTTAAAAGGCACACAGTGATACCCCTTCTAAGAATGAATGTCTTTGGAATCCCCACGTCATCGCACATGGGACTTCTTTGTGGCTTTGTTTTTTCTCTCATTTTTTCCTCTCAAGGCTGGCTGGCGTCAACGTTGCTATGTGGCTGAGGATGAACTTGAAGCCCTGCACCTCCTGCTTCCGCCTCCCAAGGGCTGGGATTACAGGCCTATGCCACTATACCTGACCTGACTTGTTCGTAGAATTTCTTAAAGCTCTATTGATTCTTAACATTTTTAAAAATCTCTTTCTAAAGCTTTAGTTAGCAAGGTGACTTTGAAAGTTTATTTGGTTACTACAAGCTGTGAAGAAAAGCTCTTTCGTTGTCCCCCCCTCCCACCACCAGGCCAGGGATGGAACCCAGAACCTTGGAATGCCAGGCAAATGCTTTTCCACTGTAACATATCTCTATTATCAAGAGACAGTATTCATAAACTCACTGCAATTCCATTTAATGGTACTGTATAAAAAAATCGAGTTTTGAATAGATTATACAACTAGGAATTGAACCAAGGCTCTTTAACCCTAAAAATAGATCTTATTTTTCTGTTTTCTTTAACAGACTGATTATACAACTAACACATGCTCACTGTAGAAAATATGGAAAATGTAGGAGGAAAAAGACCAATATAAAAACTGTCTTGGGTGTCAACCCTATCACTTTTTTTTTTTCTTGGATGCCTTAAAATGTATGCAGTAGGAGGTCCAGGCTGAAACCTGATTCTCAGCCCACGGTCTCCGAACCCTAAGTGAACACGAAGGAGCTGCAAGAAGTGGGCTTTCATAACAATGAGCAATTTCTGTACAAAGAATTGGGGCTCATATCAGGTCATTTCTAGTTTCTTTGCTGGACCGACGATTAAGGAGGCCCCAGTTTTGTTAGCTGTGGGTAGATCACCCACACGTTCAGGTGTTATCTAATGTCTCTGGTGAAACAGGCTCATAAATTCAGGGAGAAGCATTCTAGAAAAGGAAGGTATGCATTTCGCCTGGCAATGTAAGGTTCTGGGTGTTGTTTAACAGAAATCACTCTACAGATTCTGTTGCCTCTCCAGGGAAACATACCCTATGTGAAAATGCATCTGAACTTCAGGGATGTGAGCTGTGAGCTGTCTTGTGAGACTTGGGGCTCACTTGGAAGATTGGTGTCAAAGGTTCATGTAGTAAAATCCTCTAGCTTTCTTGGTTCTGGTTATATGGAACACTTACTGTCTTTCACTGGATTCTAAAATGACAGTTTTTGGTGTTTTTTGTTTTGTTTTGTTTTCCTTTTTCTCTGTGTAACAGCCCTGACCATCCTGGAACTTGCTCTGTAGACCAGGCTGGCCTCAAACTCAGAGATTCACCTGCCGCTTCCTCCCAAATACTAGGATTTCAAGGTGTGTGCTACCACTGCCTGGCTTCTAAAGTGGATTTTAAGTCAACTTATTTTTAAATATGTGCATCATGTTCCTATCTAAACAAATCTCTGGCTGGACTTGTTCATGCCTACTTGTAATTCCAGCACTTGGGAGGTGTGGCAGGAGAATTAGGAGCTACATAGCAAGTTCAAGTTCAAGGCCAGCTTGGGCAACATGAGACCCTGTCTCCAAAAAAACAAAAACAGTGAACAAAATCCTACTACAACAATTGTTGTATACATTTTTTACCCTAATATTTATTTTTTTTTCTGGGTAATGTTATTGCCCTCTGTCACAATTTTTTTGGACAAGAATGCTTATCAAAAAAAAAAAAAAGAATGCTTATCAAAGAACTGTTGCCCTCCTACAATTTGTCTTTGGATATAGCTTGAAGGGAAAGTGTGTGAGCCTGATTTTTACCCATTCCTGTGGAATATGGCCTAAAGAGACTGGTCCATCAGCTGGAGCAAACTGAGGAATGTGCAGACCATCCCATGTGCTATAAGATTACTGTCCGTCTTGGGGAAAGGGCTAATCATTGCTACAATCACTTCTTGGAATGGAAAACAGGGTTTTATGGGAGGATGAACATGAGTACTCTTCCTCTGGAGCTTTGAGTTTGGGGAGTCTGGGTCTACCAGGCATAACTGCTTCAAGCCCGAGAGTGGGGGGATTTCTGTTGGGCCAAGTGCTGTTGTACAGCTCAGAAATACTGACTTCTTGCAGGCTTTGCAGACACCAAGATTCCAGCCTAACATTCTTCCAAAGGAACAGACAGTCTCCTCTTAATGGTCCTGACACAGTTGTGACTAGGATTTAACTTTGGATATGTCTTGCAGGGATGTTAAATCTAACAAGGGATCAGCAATGGCTATTCCACATAACTGTCTTCAGAATCTGTATTCAGGGTACACCGAGTCTCCTCTTTCCCAAGTACATTACTGCCTCATTTAGATCTACTTCACTCTCCGACTTGAGTTAGCTTTGATAGGGTCCTTGTCACAAGAATCCCAACTACATCACTTCTGCCTAGATTGTAGATGAAAGTGTATTTGTGGGTGGCAGGGGACTGAACTGTGTGCATGTGAGGCACACACTCTCCCACCACGCTGTTCCTCTAAGCCTTACACATTTAAATATAAATGGTAAAACAACTTCTGGAAGAAAAGCTAAGAAGTACTTTCAAAACACATGAGGAAGATTTCTTAAGTAGCACAGAGAAACACGGGCGTAAAACAAAAGACTGATAAATTGAATTCCATTACAGTTAAGAATTCTGCTCATTAAATATTAGGGAAGTGCTTGCTTTGGCAAAGCATACAACTGACAATGGAATAATACAGAGATAAACAGATACCATACAAATCTGTGAAGGGTTCCATATTTAAAGAGAAAGAGAAACCTAGTGTGGTGGCACAGGCTTGGAATACCATTACTCCGGAGGTGGAGACCAGAGGGTCAGAGGTTCAAGGTTGTCCTCGGGCATATAGCTAATTTAAAGCCATCTTGGGTTGTGAGGACTCTGTCTTGATAACTGTCACTACAACCAGAAAAATACACCAATAGACCCTGTCTCAAAAAAAGAAAAAAAAACAGGCCCAAGTGAACAACAGAGATTTGTATAATGGTTTTATGAAAAGATGGATAAAAGACAAAAAGGAGCTCACCACATCAGAGTAATAATGAGTGGAAACTACAGTAAGGGACCACTTATACCCCACAGAATCTTCAAGTCATAAAGACTGACAGAAGTGTGGCTGTTGGCAAAGATGAAGGACAATGGTATCATCTATTAAAATTATACTCTTTGTTCTGACAAGATCACTCATATATAAACATACATGCACATAAATGTATACGTTTACACACATACTAGATGAGCATTCATATTCGTGCTTATTTATCATGTTGTTGTTTGGTTGCGTTGGTGCTTTGAGATGGTGTCTTGTACTCTGGCAGTGTTCTTGCCTCAGCCTCCTGAGAGCTGGGATTACAGGAATCATCTTCTATTATTAAATGTGTATAAAAAAGACTTGCGTAAGAGTACTTATGGCAACATTGTCTGTAAGAACATGGAAATAACCCAAATCCTATACACCAGGAAAAATGAATGATACATTTTATAGAATGGCATGAAATGTAATAACCGAAAATTATTTCTAGAAACAGCCAACAACATGTATACATGGCATAACACACTGTTGAGTAGAAGACTGCCAGAGTATAGGACACCATCTCAAACCACCACCAAACACAAAGAAAAACTAGCATGCATATGCATGGTCTAATATGTGTAAATGTATACATACGTATGCATACATGTAGACATATGAGTGATATTATCAGAACAAAGAGTATGCTGAGGAAATGTCATAGGTACACATAGGTATTTTCATGTGTGTTTACATTGTGTTTTTGTGCCCACATGCCAGGCAAGAGCTAGGTATAGGGATACAGAATTCAACTTTTCACTATTTCGTCCATGCCCCTCATCGCCCTACCAGCTGACCCTACAAGTATGAGCTCCTCAGTAGTGCCGAAGTCCCCTGAGCAGTGACCAGGGGTGTCAGGAGATGCTACCCTCAACCTTTAACCCAGGCTTTCTTCCCAGGGTCTTGTGAACCTTTTCCCTGACCATCCTGTGCTCTTCTCCTGCAGGCCCTTCCTGGGGAGTGGGTGCTTTATTTTTCTTTTGTTTTTTTCAAAGGGGAGGGAGGAGAATCAGATTCCGTCCCAGTGGAGGAAAAGATGCTGTCCGAGGAGGGGAGAAACAGGGAAGGCAGAGGGGTGTCCTCAGTAAGGCAGGGTGGTTAGACCATAAGCATGCCGGGGGGGGGGGGGGGGGGGAGTCAAGATTAAAAAAAAAAGAAAAAAAAAAAAGGAGGCAGAAGGCCCAGAGGCTGAGTAAGACTCTTAGTGGGTCACTGTAAATGTGGAGAGCCAGGCACAGAGGTGTTTCCTGGGGGTGGAAAGTGCAGACACAGTGCCTCCCCACTTCCCTCCTCTACCCCTGCTCCAGCTCTGTTCTGTTCTTCTCCCCCTTTCCCACAACAGAAGCCCCGGCCATGTCACCGCGTCCCCCATCTCTTGCACGTCCAACCCTCTCCTCCCTCCTTTTGCACGGGCACTATTACAATCCTTTTTTAAAAGTATGGTTCCATGAGCATAAATTATGGATGTGTAAGAGATGAGGCCTTTGTATGTTGCCCAGGGTGGCCCTAAACTCCTGGGATCAAGAGATCCTCCTACCTCAGCCTCCTGAGTAGTGGGGCAGTCATTTGTTTTTTAAAGACAAGGTCTCACTATGCAGCCCTCGCTGACCTGGAGTTCTTACATAAACCAGGCTGACCATAAACTCACAGGGATCTATTTGTCTCTGCCTCTTGAGTACAGGAATTCAAGCTGCATGTCCCCCATGCCCAGCTTTATGTAAGTTTTTAGATAAGCAAAAATAATCCAGAATGTTAGAAGCTCTGGGCCAGGGAGAGGTGGGGAGGGAGGAAGCAGGAAGGCATGTGAAGATTCCTAACACATTGCTGTTCTCCTTTTTCTTTTGTATGAGTATATGTGTGCACACATGCAGTGTATAGATGTACAGGGGTGGGTTCATGTGTGCTCACAGACATGGAGGCCAGAGGTTGACAGCAGGCATCTTTTATTATCACTCTCTAACTTTTCTCCAAGACAGAATCTCTTACTGAACCCAGGGCTCACCTACTGGCTAGATTCTCCAGCCAGTGAGTGCCAGGGATCCATCTGTCTCCACCCCAACAGCTCTAGGGTTACTGAAGCAGGCAACCATGCCCAACTTCTTAGGTAGGTTCTGGGGATTTGAACTCAGGTCCTCATGTTTCCATAGCAGATACTTTAACCACTGTGCCATGTCCCTGACTTTACTTTTCTATTTCTTGACCTGGGTGATAAATATATCTTCATTTTGTCATAATTCATCAGGATGCATGCTTCTCATCGGCTATATGTCGTGTTAGAGTTCAATAAAGAAGTTCTAAGAATGGAGAGCTTGTGCAACATACATGAGGCCCTGGAGTAGTCTCTAGTTGCCCTCCCCCCCAAAAAAGTTTCACATCAAGGCTCACTACCTACCTAGCAAAGGGTAACCCTCAGATCTGTTGCAGATGAGACATGCCATACCAAACATACTAAGGAGAAAAAAAAAGAAAGAGAGAGAAAAGAGTTAGATTCAAAACAGAAACACTGAGAACGGAAGTGACTAGTTCTTCAGTCTTTCTGTTGGTCTTCCTGGTTGCAAATACCCCGAGGGGAAAAGAGGAAGTCTATGCGTAACGGGGTCCAAACAACTTCTGTACCAGCTACTGCCGCAGGACCAGGTACACTAGTTGACACATGACTCTTACACCTGCATTGGCAGCCGAGAACCCTGGGGTGGAGGATGATGGAGCCCAACAGTCTTGGATGTGCTGCAGAGTCTCACATCCTGGAGAGATTCTGAGAACTGTTCAGTAACAGCTTGACTTTGCTGAGCACATGCTACGTGTCTAACACAGTTCTAGATACTTTAGGACAGTCTTTTTTTTTTTTAACCAGTATCTTTAATTCTGACAAAAAACAATTATTAAGAAGGATGTATGACTCCTGGGTTGGGGCTGTAACCCAGTGGGAGAACATGCGCCCAACACACATGACGTTTCAGGTTCAATTCCCAGTACAGCCAGAAATAACCCACAAAAACGAATTAAACCAACAGCAGAGGGAAAGTACTGCTCTAATGTCCATTTCACAAACGAGTAAACTGAGGAAGAGAGTTATTCTGTCCAACTTCGCATAACTAGTGGTGACAGTGTCTGAACACAGGCCAGGGTGCACGTGCATTTTCGCATGTATTTTACTTTGGATCAGTCCCTTCTCTGTTCCGCCTTGCTACTGTGTCCTATTCTCTGGTGGTACCTATCAGACTCTCCCATGTAATATACAGCTAACTTATACAGTAAAAATTTCAGGTCAGGAACCCTGCCCTATTCAAAGCTGTATCTGTGTCCCTACACTTTTTTTTTTCCTGGAGAGAGTGTACAGAAAAATCATGTAGTGTGTAGGCTTTGGCGCTTGTGTGGTAGTTGACTGTATGTAGTGACCTACTTCCTTACCCCTACCTGTACCTGCACCCTTTGTGGTCTAGCATGGCACTGACTTCCTGCTCTGGCTTTACCTTGTGAAGGCTCGGACCAATCAGATGTCAGCAAACATGAGCGCGAGGAGGAGGCTCGTGCATGGGCCAAGTGCCTCTTGTTCTCCACATATTACTGTGACAACATGCCTGGTGGAGGATGAGGCCCATAGAACCACATTGCTCTAGTTCTGTAAGCCCAGCTGCCCTCGCTGTCTCTGCTGATGCCACCTTGGATCAACCAAAACACCTGCTGAACCCCAGGCATGTGAATAAGGAGTGAGATCAGCCCAACTGAGACAATATCAATAGAGTTCCAGATTTTCCTGGGGAAAAAAGACCCAGCCTGTTAATTGCATTGGGGATGTGGGTCAGGCCTAGCACGAACAAGGCCCCAATGCTACAAAAAGAAATGCTTGCTGTTCTGTACCACTGAGGTTTATGGTTGCCTGTGAAAGTGGGTTGCGTGGCAGTTTGAAACTTGGCTCCCTGGCTTTACTAGAGAGAGATGACTATTGGTGAGTCATTTAATAGCACTTAAATTTACACAATGGAGATAACTTTCTATATCATACAGTCAAACATAAGAATAAACAGTGTTTTTGAGACATAATGCATATTTAATAAGTGCTCACTAAAAATGATCATTATCTGTTCGTTTAGTCAATCAACATCATATGATGACCCGTGTGCGCTAAGCAGGGTGCTGAGCCCCACAAATACAAAGTGGATAGAAAGAAATTTCTGAATGAACTGCAGCCTTGGTTGACTGATTAAGACTTGAATTCTAATTTGTTCCTGGAGTAACAGTTTCCATTTTCCATGTTGTTCATTCATGCACCACTTATTTATTCATCATTGTTTAAGGCCCACTGTGTGTCAAACACTGGGGATATAAGAGTGACCAAAAGATAATCACTATTCAGCCTCACTGTGCTCACGGTGTGGTGAGTAAAAAGTGTAGCAAGTCAGTAATTGTGACATAGGAACTGGGGGTGTAATTTGGAAGTAGGGCAAGTGCTTAGCATGTGTGAGACCCTGGGGTCCATCTCTAGAACCAGTCAGTGAAGAGTCTGTGAGATAGTGTAGACAGTCTACTAGAAGCATGTGCTGTTGAATTAGAGGTGAAAAGGGTCCCTTGTCTAGTAGGGGATGGAGAATTCCAGAGCCACCCTCATGGAGAGAAAAATTCCTGAGCTATATTTTAAAGATGGCTTGGGCAGAGTGGTGATAACAAGCCATTAGACACTCCCACTAAGGGTGTGCAGGAAGGGATGAAGCTGAAAAAGCTCCCTTGTATGTTACTGCAAGGAATTTGACTGTTAACATGGAGTGATGAACAGCTATTGGACAATTTTAAGCCCAAAGGGACATCCGCACATCTACGCTGGGCTTTAGGAAAGACCCACAAACAATATCTTACCCTTTTTAAACCCTCTTGACTCTGGGCACACAGTTAACATAATCAGTGAGTACCGAATGGTGACCAGGTCCATCTGGTATGTACTGAAATCAGAGGACTCTGTTCTGTTTGCACAGCCGCTGAAGAATCGCCCTCAGACTCCTCAGGCCTATGTGAAGAACGAGCTCTTCCATCTTGCTATGTTGGTAGGATGGAGAAAGAGGAGGGTAGGCTAGAGTCTGCACCCAGGTCTGGGAAGGTATAGATTTCAGCTTCATGAAATGGTTTGGAATCTTAAATGGGGGGGACCAATCCTTTGCTATCAAATCTCCCCTTTACTAGAAAATGCCCACACTCACACTTTCTCATTAAGGCCCAAACACTGATAAACTGGTCCAGCATCTGCAACACCTTTCATGACTTTCTTTGGAAGCTCTTTAAAAAAGTAGGCTGGTAGGTTGCTGCCGTCATACGTGACAGAGTCGCAGGTCACGATGCCTGGGTAATACATCATCATCCTGGCAGCAATATTGACCTTCTGACCAATGACTACGACAGGAAGGAGCAAGTCAAAGGGGAGAAACAAACAAAAGCTGTTAAACTCCACGTGACCTGAGGAGATTCCCCCCCCCCAAGGCTTTTCCCCTGTTTCTTCTGTCTGTCATGAATGACACATGAGTTTAGCCTTCAGCTGCCCAGTGCCTATTTCAAACAATCTGCAACAGTTAGCTCAGCCAGTGGCAGAGTTTCTGTCTTACCTGGGAGACCAAGAGGATGGTCTGTTTAGGGATAGAAAGGCCTTAAATGTAAAGAGGTGTTTGTAAGGATGGCCACAGGCCTGAGGGCTCTTGGCTTATCTTCTATGATGAAGTGGGCAAGCATGTGTTGGTCTAGGTCAGTGGTTCTCACCCTTCCTGACGCTGTGACCCTTTAATACAGTTCCTTATGCTGTGCTGACCCCCAACCATAAATTATTATATTGCTACTTCATAACTGTAATGTTGCTACTGTTATGAATCATAATGTAAATATCTAATATGTGACCCTGGGGGTCACAATCCACAGGTTGAGAACCACTGATAAGGGGCCTGCTCCTCAAAATAGTGTATGTCTGCTGAAAGAAACATCATTTGGTAATTCTGTGCGTGTGCGTGTGTGTGTGTGCATGTGTGTGTTGTTCATTTGTTTTAAAGAGAGTCTCTCTGTGTAATCTGGCTCATCTGGAACTCACTATGTAGCCCAGGTAACCTGGAATTCAGAGATCCACCTGCCTCTGCCTCCCTAGCGCTGGGATTAAAGGCGTGCACCACCACATCTAGCCATGATTTTGTTTTGGAGAGGTGGTATCACTCTGTTGCTGTCCTTGAGCCTCTAGTGGCCCATTTCTGCTAGGCAGGCCATAGTCCCAAAGGTTCCACAGCTTTCCAAAACAGCATCACTAGCTAGAGAACAAGCATTCGAGAACAGAGCCTGTGGGTGACATTTCACATCCGAACCACAATGTCTCCCTCAAGCTGTTTTCCAGGGTATTTTGTAATGAGGACGAAACTATTTCTAACACACTGCTCCCTGTAATAGCATAACTTCCTGAGTCATTTCCCCTTCTCTATTTATCTCAAAAGTCAGGAATGCCGAGCCCTGTAGGCAATTGTCTCAGGATAGGGATCTAGTAGTAACCATTTCCCAAGAGACCAATGAACACACCACAGTGTGGCCAGTTCTGGCTTCATGTCGTTCTTGCCCCCTGGGCCTAGTTCCCCCTTCTGTATACTCCTGGATCTATCATCACCTTGAAGACAGGGTCAGATGCCAGCTCCCCTGTTCCTTCTGGTGTGGCCACACCGAAAAAAGCCCTGTCTTGCTTTATGGCCCTTCACCTCTTTGATGATGAAATCATTCAGTGAGTAATCAGACCCGGCTACTGGGGCTTCTGGGGCCAGGCCTGCTGGGACTGGAGTTAATAGATGGTTGGGATCCGCTATGTGGGTGCTGGGAAAGGAACCCAGTTCCTCTGGAAAAGCAACAAGTGTTCAAAACGACTTGAGTCAATCCTCTAATCCCTGACTGACTTCAGACTCCTTATGCTCAGCCACGGCACCAGAAACACACACATGCTGCAGACCTGGCATTATCAGTGGGCAAAGCAACATGGCTTTGCTTCACTTGGAAAGACTAAACTCTCTGAGAGCCGAGCCCATATCTGACTCCACCCTCCCTACCCCCACCTTCTTTTCCAAAGATCTCTCTCACAAAGCCCTAATGTCACGTATGTGTGTTGAAAGTAGATGAAACTGAGTCGGCTCTACACACCTGTGTACTCATGTCTCACAGTGTGTCCGACAATCCCACAGAAGACGATCCCACTGGCAACGCCGATGGAGACAGTCCTGACGCCGCCGCCGACGCAGGAAGTTGTAGGAGAGAGCGAAGAATAATGAGCATTTACACAAAAAGATTCTGAGCACAGAAAACATGGCAAGGCTGGGGAAATGGGTTTGGGGGGGGGGGGCTATTTCAAACAGCTCTATTTTTTACGTTCAGTTATACACAGCTGAGAGATGTGAAGGGAAAATGTGTGAGGCGCTGAACCAAGTTATCCATTTTTCCCTTCTCTCCAGCTTCCTGTAACCCCCCCACCTCCTCCCTGTTCCTGTAAGACGGGATCAGGGTCGACACTCACCGGATTTTGTGGACCTGAGAACAGAAGTCAAATATGTCCACGGCACTTTCCAAGGCGTGAGTGATTTCATCAGGTACCTTTTCCCCGGGGAAACCGAAGACACAGAGGAAGGAGCACCCCTGTAAGTGAGAAGCAGCAAGCTCAGCTTTAGTCTGCCTCAGCTGATGCCATAACCAGGAAGTGTCGCGGCAATCTTCCCTTTCTGAATCGGGTTCATCCTGGTTTCTACCACATCTGTCCTATGCTTGGTAAACGGGGTCACTTCTAGGGTGCCATCGGAAGTGTAGCGCCTGCCTTTGTGAAGGACTTGCTTTTGCTCCAGAGATCGTTCCTGCTGGGCTAATTCGTGTGCACTCGTGTTTCTCTTTCCTGTGGACCAGGCCCTGGGCATTGAAGCGGGACATTGAGCCTAAGAGGCACAGCAGGGTGGAGGAAAAGGCACCAGCCCGGGGATAGAACCCGTCAAGATGACTTAGGACATGCTCATCTTTAGTCCTAGTACTAGAAGGCAGAGGCAGACAGGTCTCTGTGAGTTCCAGGACAGCCTAGAACACAGTGAGGTTGTCTTTTAAAAAGCCCATAGGGTTGTGTGTGTGTGTGTGTGTGTGTGTGTGTGTGCGCGTGTGCGCGCGCTTGTCTGGAGAGGTGACTTAGCCCTTACAGAGGACCTGGGTTCAGTTCTCAGCACCCACATAGTAGCTCTTATTCATCATCTATGACTCCAGTTCCAGTGGCTGTGATGCTCTCTCTTCTGACCTCTCTGGGCGCCATGAGAGCGTGTGATGTACAGAGACTCATGAAGGAAAAATACTCATATACATAACATAAAAAATTAATTTTAAAATGTTTTAAAAAGATGACTCAGCGAGTAAAGGCAGACCAACATGGTGGAAGAAAAGAAGAAACTCCTGGACACTGTTCTCTGAACTCCACAGGCAGACCTTGGCACACATATGCTCATACACACATGCTCATAAAATAAAATAGGATTCAATTTTTTTTTTTTTAAAGTGTAGCCAGGCATCATGGCATACACTTTTAGTCCTGGAACTCAGGAGGCAGAGGCAGGCAGATCTCTGAGTTCAAGGCCAGTCTGGTCTTCATAGTGAGTTCCAGAAGGGTCAGAGTTGCATGGTGAGACCCAGTCTTAAAGCAACAATAAAACAGAGTAATCACAGGCTTAAATTAGTTAATCTAGGTAAAATGTTGAGAAGAACACCTGACATGCTGACCATGTATACGCGGTTATAAAGTATGACATCCTAGATTAAATGTCCTGCCATCTGTTCTCTCCACCTGGCTAATGTCCTTGGCCTTACATGCTAACTTCACACTCCTGCTAGGTTTCCCATTCTGTAGTTCATACTTACCTTATCAAACATGAAGACCTTATTAATCTGGCCTCGGAAGACCTTCAAGACAGAAGTGATATGCACACAGGCAGCTTGGATGGCCGAACCTATGACTTCCGCTTTGTCTTGCTCTTTAAACATCAAGTTCACAAACACTATTGTCACGGGACGGAGCTCAGATAAATAGCCCCGAAGCTGCTTGTCGTCAATCTGCAAGGCAGAGGGCAGCTTTCTGCAGTGTGTGTCCTGGCCAGGAGAGCCTTTCAACACCACCCTAGGCCACACCCTAAGTCACTACTGGGAAGGAAGCCTTTTGAGATGCTGAGGCAGCGGAAGCCATCACACTGTGAGGTCCAATCCAGAGCCAGCCCATGGGAACCCATTATCCAAATCTCTTCCATTGATCCCCAGCAAACATACATGCACAAACACACCATGCATCAGTGAAGATTTGCACAGTTGCTAATTTGACCAGCTACTGCTTTAGTACTTAACAATCAAATGCCTCATGCCAATATGCGACGTCACAGTAAGAATTATTATCACCTTTTGATCTCTTGCTTTTCCAGTTAGGTAGAAGAATATTATTCCAAGTCACTTAACCTTGTACTTTCTTATCCTGGTTCCTTCTGGAATGTTTTTAGATTCTATCCCACTATTTTCAGATAAAACTGCAAAACCCAGCATTAGTGTTCCCATTTTACAGACTGGATAGCAGACACATGGAGAAGTAATCCAGTTTTCCCAAGGTTATGTAGATAGAAAGTAGCAAATTAAAATCCAGCTGTGATGCCGGGCGGCGGTGGCACATGCCTTTAATCCCAGCACCTGGGAGGCAGAGTCAGGTAGATCTCTGTGAGTTTGAGGCCAGCCTGGTCTACAGAGCGAGATCCAGGACAGGCACCAAAAACTACACAGAGAAACCCTTTCTCGGAAAAAAAAAAACCAAAAACCCAAAACCAAAAAACCAGCTCTGGATTCCAACATTTCTTGTAATACATACCTCTTTGTGGTAGCGTATTTTGTTTTATTGTTTTATTTAGGTTCCCTCTTCTCTACACTCCCACCCTGTGAGAGGCACATGGAGAAGAAAGTATTCCCCAAATCATGTCTGCCAGTCACCCACCTTAAATTTTGTTAAATGAAGTGCTTTGCAAATCAGTGGCGAGGTCGGGGGAGAGTCATTGTAATTCTGTCCAAATAACACAAAGGTATCAGGCTCCACTGACGATGTGAAAGGCCATCTCAGAGTGGCAGAAATTGCTACAGGGAATGAAGCCGCCATGATTTCTAACTGCCTAGGCTAGCCTCGGGACTGGGTTCATGTCATTGTATTCCTTCCATAAAAGACAATGTGACTTCTAACAAACCAGTGTAATGATTTTTTTCAAATCCATCGACAAGTAATTTTTCATTTGTAAAAATTAGATCACATGTTCTTACAGGACTGTAGCATCTCTGAGGACCTACGTCTTTAAGTGCTAGGATAGGCTTTGGCAGAGTCCTCCAGGATTTGTCTTTCACCTTCTTTCGGCTCCCCACCCCCAGACATACCTCTTTAGCAGTATTCATTATTTCTACCTACAATTCCTCACGAACTCCCAAGTCCATCTTATACTCCATTCCTGTAGGTGACGACCTCAGCAGTGGCTAATGGGTTCTATCTGTTGAGGCAGCGGAGGTTGTAGGAGAGACTTTCTCTCGGACTATCACAGGCACTGGTAGTCGCCACCAGTGAGGTCTATTTAGGCACAATCCCCTATGCTTAGAATTGAGGGCAGCTGCTCTTAAAAAACTATTAAAAACAGGACCATAATTCCAGCAACTCAAAAAAATCACAAGTCAATAAAATACCTTCCTCGACTGAAGACTGAGTTCAAAGCCACTCTGGGCAACTTAGTGATAGCCTGCCTCAAAAATAAAATGAGTAACTATAGATTTTGTTTGTTAGACTGGGCATTGAACGTAGAGCCTCTAGCACACTAAGTAAAGGTGAATGTTCTACCATTCAACATATTTTTTTTTTTTAAAGAGGATCTCATTATAAAACCCTGGAATTGGCTGTGTAGACCAAGCTTGACAATCCATCTGGAATTGGCTGTGCAGACCAGGCATGACAATCCATCTGTCTATCCCTCCCAAATGCTGGATTAAAGGCATGCACCACCACACCTGACTGAATGTGCATGTGAAGGTACCCTCTCTCACATGCCAGAAGAGGTTGTTAAATTCCCTGGAGCTGGAGTTACAGGAGGTTGTGAGCTGCCTGATGTGGGTGCTGGGAACTGAATTTGGGTCCCCTGCAAGAGCAGTCAGTACTCTTAACCACTCACTCTTCTCTCCAGACCCTTTTTATTTTGAGGGGAAGGATCTCCAAATACTTAGGCTATACCTAAGAATTAGCCTCCGCCCCCTGAGAGGATGGGATGTTGGTGTTTATTGCTAGGCCCAGAATAAATGTTTCTGTTTGATTGGTTGGTTAGTTTGGAGATTTGTAGCCCAGGCTGGCCTGAGCTTGATATGTACTCAAAGATAACTTTTGATGCTCCCTGCCCCCACTTGCCAAGTGCTGGGATTATAGGTGTACACCACCATGGTCCAAGCTTTGGTTTTTTTTTTTTTTTTTTTTTTTTTTTTTTTTTTTTTTTTTTTTTTTTTTTGAGATGGTCTCACTCTGAAGCTCAGCCTTGCCTGGAATTCACTGTGATTCTCTTGCCTCTGCCTCCCAATTCCAGGATTACAGGCACAAACAACTTGTTATGTTTCCAACAGCTCTGGCTTGCTCAGTTACATAAGGCAACACAGTCCAAGTAAGGCAGACAAGCATAGGGGATAGCTTATTAACCCGGGACTCCACTTGGTTTTGGCTATGCCAAATTTCTAATAATGCATTTGGCAGCCAGAGACCCTTACCTACACATACTACGCACACTCCCAATAATGCACCTAGCAACCTGTTAGCAACTGAGACCCCATGTGCATTGAGGTACATGAATACCATAGTGTTTTGAATGAGAATGACCCCTATAGGCTTATATATTTGGATACTTGGTTCCCAGCTGGTGGAACTGTTTGGGAAGGATTAGGAGGTGTGGCCTTGTTGGAGGAGGTGTGCCACTGGGAGTGGGCTTTGAGGATTCAAAAATCCATGCCAATCCCAGTGTGCTTTCTGCCTTCTGCTTGTAGTTCTCAAGATGTGAGCTCTCAACTGCTGCCTCCTACCTTCTCTCTGCCATCATAGATCTAACCCACTGAAACTGTAAACCCAAACTAACTCTTCGTTCTATAAACTGCTTTGTTCATGGTGTTTTATCACAGCAATAGAACAATAATTGTCTTAGAGTTTCTATTGCTGAAGAGACACCATGACCACAGCAACTCTTATAAAGGAAAGCATTTAATTTAAATGAAGTGGCAGCTTACCATTTCAGAAGCTGAGTTCATTATCATCATGGCAGGGAGCATGGTGGCTGGAAGTATGGTGGCATGCTAGCAGACATGGTACTGGAGAAGTAGCTGAGAGTTCTATATCTTGCACAGGCAACAGGAAGTGGTCTATTTCATTGGGCGTGGCTTGAGCATATATGAGATCTCAAAGTCACCTTCCACAATGACACACTTCCTCCGACAAGACCACACCTACTCCAACAAGGTCACACCTAATAACTCCACACCCTTTGGTGGTCATTTTCTTTCACACCACCACAGTAATTAAGATACACACCCAACTCTACCCCAAACAATGGAATAAGCTTTTTCTCCCCTTAAAAACTATCAACTCAGACATATCCTACTCAATTGTACTCCAGTGATATCAGAGGTCGGGGTAGGGGTGCTGCTCAGCGCAGACTGGATCTGGCCAACACTGGTTTGAAATGAGTGCACAATAAGGCAAACTATGTCCTCGAAGTGAACCTTTAGGGAGAATCCACTATTTATCATCTTATGCCTATGCACAGATGGGCATACATACAATTAAAATCAGAGGCGTTATGAGAAGAGACTTGTGTAGTAATGGTGATATAGCAACCTGTCAATCAAAATAGAAAACTATCCATATTAGCAATCACACTCCTCCTTTTGGACCCCATTAAAGGAAGCCCCAAGCAATAGCCAGAGCCCTTGAGTACTCTTTTCCTTATGTGGCCTGCTGTTCTCATGCAGCATTATTTTGATCCACACTTTCACTTTATTCTGAAAAAAATTTCCCTGCTGCATTGCAAATCTGTGTGTGCTTATGTCCACAGTTTGAGAATGATATCAAGAACCTGGAGACACATGGCCAGCCCCTGACCACTGGTAACCCAAGTTTCTTCTTGCTGCCACAGTGTACTTAGAATAATGCCTCCTTTAACTGTGACCCTTCTCTCCTCCTCCATACCTTTCTCTCCTTTTCCCCTTTCTCCTCTCTCTCCTCCCTTCCTTTCCTTTCTCACTCTTTGTGATTTTACAAAGCTAGAGATGGGACCCAGAGCCTTACACATGCTAGGCAAATGCTCTACCATTGAACCACACCCTCCCCCCAATTTTTAATAATACCCTGATTTGGATAATAAATTTTGAAGTCACCTATACACGGAGAATGTGAAATGAAATTCCCAGAAAAGAAAAGCCATTTAAAGATTCTGCAAGGGTGATTAACGAGTTGTCTAGAACTTCATGGTTGTAGAGAGTTGGACTGCTACAGATCCAGATCTTGCGCTGCCTTTAGACCCTTTAATAGCCATCCACTGCCTATCTCTTGAGTCTGGCCTAGCAGCTTTTCAATTATCAAGCGAAACCCTTTGGAATGTGTTAATTTAACAGATTCTGAAGCTCCTAGGCAACTCCAAAACTAAGAACAATATCAGAAAATATGAGACCTATGGCATTTTGCTATCATCTACCTACCTGATATTCCCACCAATGAATTTGAGAAGTATCTTGATTTTTGACTGTCTTTTGTATTATGCCCACAAAAGACTTTCCGTGTTGGAACATATTATTTGGGACAACCTGAATCTTGATAAGTTTTGGATCCCCAGTTATTGGCTATCCTTTGCCACAGATGTAATAAGCCAATCAAGCTGAATTAATAAATCCAGATTTAATCTGAGCAGAGCAAAGCACCTCCCGGGTGGCTCTTGGGAAGGCAGAGGAGAGAGGCCATGGCAGGTATGGCAGCCAGGTCTTAAGTAGCCTGTAGGCATGGTCTTGAGCAGCCCCAGGGAGGATCTGACTCTTGGCCGCCAATCCTAGGGGCGGGGTCTGGGGGGAGAGAGAGGTGGGGCTTCCACCTAATGATCCCAGATTCCTTGGGTGTATGGTGCCAGAAGGGCTTCCACCTAAACAAATCTGTGTCCCAGGGCCATTGTCACTTCTCTTTGAGGTAGGACCTATGTGTTGGGCCAACAAAAATATTTTTTTTATTTAGGAACCTTTTTTTTAACCAGATTCTGTGTTTTGTTTACTATTTTGTCTTTCTTGCCGTTGAGATTCCTGACACCTCAATTTGAATACACTGAATAATGAAAATACCTGCTTCAAAATGATTTCCATCACATACTTTTGTAGGGACAACTCGAGATCAGGATCAGACTCCAGCATGCAGGCGAGCCTTAGGAAGTCTAAGAGGGCAGAAGGAAAGGGAGGGCTCAGCAATGCTAGAGAGAGGAGTCTTCCTGTTCCCACTCCCTGGGGCAGTGTTCCTTATAGGAGACCCTGGGACATCAGGAGACCCTGGGACATGATGATCAAAAAGGGCCAAGGCAAGCCAGGCAGCGGTGGCACATGCCTTTAATCCCAGCACTAGGGAGGCAGAGGCAGGAGGATCTCTGAGTTCTAGGCCAGTCTGGTCTATTGAATGAGTTCCAGGTCAGGACAGCCAGGTCTGTACAGAGAAACCCTGTCTTGAAACATCTCCCCCATTACATACACACACACACACACACACACACACACACACACACACACACACACACACCAAAAAAAAAAGGGTCAAGGGAAATCCACTCCACAGAAGGGTTATTATAGGTTGTGGACTTCTCTAAATTCAGTTGAATGTGACTCAGTACCAGGATTGAACTAAAATGCTTCGTAACTTGGAACGATTCTTACTTGTAGATTTGACCTTGAATTTTGCACTGCAGGTTTCTTAGGTGCCTCACGGTAGTCACATGGAAGCTCGACACAAATGGTTTGGGAAGAACTGAATAGAACAGACTGGAAACCAAGGACAGCACTCAGGCTTCCTCCACATTTAAGGAAGGGGAGGAAACTGGCAAGAGACGCTGAAGATGGCTGGTTTGCGGGACAGAAGCAAGACTAAAACAGATATTGCAGAGCCCCAGGAAAACAGAGAACGTAACATCTATGGAATGATTAATCCAAGTCAAGTGTGGCACTTTTGCGTCTAGCCCTAGCACAAGAGAAACTGAGGCAGGAAGATCGCTTGGGCCTGAGCCAGAAAGTTCAAGGTCAACCTGGGCAACAAGAACCCATCTCAAAAACAAAGCAAAGCTGAACTAAACAACAGCAACAATGGAAAGCCATACTAGTGTGGCGGCATACCGCTTCCCTTTCTCCAGACCAGCAATCTAAGGACCTAGCCATCTTCCTGCCTTGGCCACTGCTTCCTGTTTACCATTTCCAAACACCAGTAGGACAAAATACAAAGCATTTTTTACTCCTGTTTGTCCTCAAACTTCTTTTAAGTTTCTATATATCCATTTGTGTTATATGTTTATCGGTTCTTGGATCCCTTCACTCATACAGTCACACATAATAAATGTGCCTTGCATATATATGCCTTGGAATATGTGTTGGTAATTGAAGGTGGAGGCAGGAGGATCAGCAGGTCAAGATCATTCTTTGATACATAGAGAGTTTGAGGCCAGACTGGGCTACTCGAGACTGTATCATGCTGTGGGATGTTCTGTATGGCAAATGTGTTGCTCTGATTGGTCAATAAATAAAACACTGATTGGCCAGTGGCCAGGCAGGAAGTATAGGCGGGACAAGGAGGAGAATAAAGCTGGGAAGTGGAAGGATGAGTGAGAGACACTGCCAGCTGCCACCAGGGCAAGCAGCATGTGAAGATGCCGGTAAGCCACGAGCCACGTGGCAAGGTATAGATTTATAGAAATGGATTAATTTAAGCTGTAAGAACAGTTTGCAAGAAGCCTGCCACGGCCATACAGTTTGCAACCAATATAAGTCTCTGTGTTTACTTGGTCGGGTCTGAGCGGCTGTGGGACTGGCAGGTGAGAGAGATTTGCCCTGACCGTGGGCCAGGCAGGAAAACTCTAGCTACAGTATCAGAAAACAAAACAGTAACAAAACCCACGGCATGTAGCTCAGCTCTTGTTCAGCACACACAAAGCCTTAGGCTTGATCCTTTACACATCTGCATGGGGAAATTAATCCAAAGTCAACCACCTAGGGAAGGCTGGGGCTGAAAGTATAGCTCGGGGGTAAGGTAGAACACAGGGCCCTGAGTTTCAACCAAAGCACTGAAAAGAAATTAACTAAAACTTCCAAATAACAATATCCAAAGCCTGGCCACCTAGGGCCAACCACCTAGGATGAAGCCTAGGAAAAGATCACCAGACTCTAGTCAATGGTATAGCTAGTAGATTTGACACGTTCTCAGACACGGGGAAGAAGGAAGAAACGGGATGTCGGGGAAATGAGACAAGTTTAGCACAAGAAGTTTAGCACAGGAGGATTAAGAGTTCAAGGTCAGTTTAGGGTACATAATGAGACCCTGCCTCCCCTCAAAATAAATTTAAAAATTAAAAATAAACTTAAAACAGAAGCCAGAAGAATAGGTAAGCACTCACCCTGAGGCATATGCAATGCCTATTTATTGATAAATGAAATGAGAGCATGCAAGAACAAATAAATATATGACATAAATAGATATAGAGAAAATTGGGAGCTGTGTGAGGGTAAATTGGAGTCAAAGATGCTTCGCATTTTATCTTGTTAATGTTTGGAAGAAGATAGATGGGAATCAGTGCCCAGGAGAGGAAGATGACTAGGTGGTCAGAATTGCTGCTCTGGAGAATGGGAAGTCCATCTCATTTGTCAAGGTCAAGGGCCAGAGCTATGTTAAGAGTGCATCTACTTATCACTGAACCACTGACATTGGCTTAAGTCCCTACTGACCACTACAGAGGCAAAGGGTCTATGCTACTTACTTTTGTGGTCACCGGAAGGATAATAATCCATGAAGGCCATACACTTGTTGAAAAACTCGTCAAAGTTAAAAGTTGGGGGTGGTTTTAAGAAGCTAACCTGGATAAAACAACAGTAAAATTCCAGTTATTCTAAGGGCTGTGTGACCTTGGGAATGTCATTTCGCAGAACAGTATGCTTTTGAATGTCTAGGACCCAACACACAGTGACTGGCACATTTAAGGATGTTCAGAATTGTTTTGTTTGAGACAGGGTCTCACCTCTGTGGCTCAGAAGGAATGATGTGCCATGAGCTGGCCCTTGAATTTCTGGTTATTCTTATGTCTTGGTTTCTCAGGTGCTAGAATTACAGGTATGAGCTACAAAGCCCCACTCAGTTATTGTTATCATTATCATTACTACTACTACTACTACTACTACTACTACTACTACTACTACTACTACTACTGCCACCACCACTACTAATGGTGGTGGTAGTATTTTTCAGACAGGGGATTGTTTGAGACAGGATCTCACTATGTAGTCCTGGATGACCTAGAATTCAGTACATAGACCACGCTGGCCTGAAACTCACAAAGATCTGCTCATCTCTGCTTGCTGAGTGCTGGGATTAAAGGCAAGTACCATCTTACCATGCCCAGTAAGGGCACCTCACCAGGCCCAAACAGGGGATTGAACCCAGGCCCTTGCACTCCACCACTGTGCTACATCCATGTCTTGTTTACTTGTTTGGTATTGTTTCAGATAAGGTCTTGCTCACTAGCTCAAGCTAGTCGCAGATTCGAAAGGCTAGGTTCTCCAATGCTAGGGCTACAGGATGTGTCTCAGGTCTGGCCAGCGGTTGTAAACTGTAATTTTGAAAGGAGGCAGGTTGCAGCTGCCAGTAGTGCAGGCCTGTAATCCCAGCTACTTGGGAAGCTGAGGCAGGAAGATCAAACATCTAAAGGTTTCTGGTGCTAAGAAGGACATTCAAGGATAACCTGGTCTACTTAGTGAGACTCTGCCTCAAAAAAGAAAATACAAAAAAATGCTTGGGGCTGTAACTCAGTAAGATAGGGTGCTTGACTGGCATGTGTGTGGTTCTGTCCTTCAGTACTACCCAAAAAATTCTGTTGCCATTTTAAAGGCTTATGGGCATAGCTCACACTGAACATATGCTTAAGCCCCTAAGTCCTAGATTCGATTTTTAGCTCAAAAAGAAGAGAACGGAAGAAAGTTTAAATTTTTTTTCCAATTACTTTTTTAAGACCTTAAGGGTCCAGTATATACACACAACAGGCAGCCCTTCTATGTTTTCCCACCCAAAGGATCTTCCTTCTTCGCGATCTCTTTCTGAACATTTTAATTCAACTAAAACCCGAGGAAACCATATGCTTTCTTTCTCCCCCTCTCCTTCCTCTCCTCTCCTTCCTCTACCTCTTCTTTTCTTTCTGCAGTATGATACAGAGTGGGAGATTATTATCCACTGAAGTGTGGGTATGAGGGAAAGAGAGGCACTTAGAGCAAAGACAGTACACACCCAAAACAGGGGTGCAGACTTCCCAGGAGAGATTCTCACCCCATGCTTTTTTTCTTATAAGTCTTGAAAACAAAGAGTGTCAACGCTTAAAAAGGTCTCAGGAAAATGGGAACTCTGAGACCGGCATATCCTTGAGTCTCTGGTATTCCTGCCTCCCAAAATGCAGAAATGAAGTCCCAAAGTATGAAGGCACCAGGCAAAAACAGATGGGGGTATCTCTGGCAAATGGCTGACAGTCCACCAGGGTTAGGAGGTCATTGGGTAGAGAAAATAAGCACTAGCATTCCCGGGATCCACATTGCAATCCCAGCAGCCAGGAGGTAGAGACGGGAGGATCAGCCGTTTAAAGGCCGTATTTAGCTATATAATGACTTGGAGGTTAGCCTGGGCTATGAACACAGACAAATGAGGATCAGACCTTACAACAACTCCCGGCTGCCCCTGGGTCACTCCATGGCTTCATTTACTCTAGAGGTGGGGGTGGGGGGTGGGGCCATTTCTTTCTTGAGCTCAGCAGCCTTGGCTCCTCCCACGAGACATGTCCTTATGCTCACCCAGACTGGGTGGAGTCAGCCTGCTGGTGGACTCTGGCAGCAACCACACACTCACCTTAACTGCTCTCTGATCGGGAATCCTCTCAATTTCAATCATGTTCCGGTCACAGAGCTGCCAGCAGTTTGGTGACAGAATAACGTCGTTCATCTGGGCCATGTTCTGCGCAAGGCGCACATCATCTACCGCCTGGCCAGTCACCAGAAAGTAGTTGCGTGTGTCATCCCCGAAGACCAACATGGTGATGTGGCCCGCAGCCAGTCCTGGAGAAGGCAAGCAATGGGTTTGCACAACAAATTCTGGGTTATTTCCCAGAAGCACTGATCTTGGAAAAATCAGAATCCTGCTGTGAACTACACAACCTCTTAGCAAAATCTCATTTTTTAAAATTTTACATAGAAATCAGAGTGCCTCTTCACTCCTAATTTCCATCTTTTGGTGGCACTTTTTTTTTTTTTTTTTTTAAGCGGGGATTTGGGTTTCGAGACAGGTTTTCTCTGTGTAGCCATGGCTGTCCTGGAACTCACTCTGCAGACCAGGCTGGCCTCCAACTCAGAGATTTACTTGCCTCTGCCTCTCAAGTACTGGAATTAAAGGCCTACACCACCAGGCCCAGATTGATGACACTCTTCTTAAAGGGTTCTATCACTCCCCAAAGTTATTTAACATTTTCTTCAATTTATACTTAAGGCAACAGAAAACGATGTTGATTATTGAGGCTTCAACTGAAAACAAACCCTAGTTCTGTCTCTTTTCAGGCCATAACTGAAGGCTGAAGAAAAAGAAAAAGGTATTTGAAAGCCAGATGACCCGCCCCAACAATGGCTTCTCTAATTCTTTTCTCTCTTTTTGAGATAGGATCTCACTATGGAGACCAGGCTGTCCTCGACCTCATTGAGATCCGTCTGCCTTCTGAGTGCTGGGATGAAAGGCATGCACTCCCATACCTCCTCTAATTGTTTTCAAGTTGAGAAGTGAAGGTTTTTGTAACTGAATAATAGAACCTAGATGCTGTAAAGGATGGCATGAATATAAATATATAAATATGTATATGTATACACACACATACACTATATATGCCAGAGTGCTCTTAAATTACTGTAATTAATGTAATCAAAGTTTGTTTTCCATCTTTGCTCTTTGTGGTGATTCTGTTTGTGACTGTAGCTTCAGCTGGACCTCGAACTTCCAGCAATCCTCCAGCCTCACCCTCCCAAGTGCTGAGATTATAGGAGCCACTCCACACCCAGCAGGCTGTGCTGACTGGCTGATGCTCATTTCCCTGGTGCGATCTATAGGCATTTTGTTTTTCCATCTGACACAGGCTACTGGCTAGCCTGGCTTACCAGAGGAAAAGACCAAAGATGGCAAAGCATACCTCTCTGCGAGCCCCTCACAATGCGCAAGGGTCTGGGTTACTATCATTCTTTTTTTTTTTTTTTTTTTTGAGACAAGGTTTCATGTAGCTCAGGCTAGCCTCCACTTCAATATGTAGCAGAGACTGACCTGGAACTCCTCATCCTTCTTCTTTCGCCGCACCCCCCCCTCCAAGTGCTGGGATGACAGACATGTGCCACCATGCCCCATCTGGGTTGTTTCCATTCTATTTATACCACATTAGGTATTCTACCACCTTCTAGTATACCACATTAGCCTCTGAGTGAACTTGGAAAAAAATGTCCTGAGGTATTCACCGGAGAAGACTGCTTGGACACGAGTTTAAGCCAATAGAAAGTTTTATTAGCTGGCCAGCACTGTGTGCTCCAGAACCCAGGGTAGCCCCGAGCCTTTCTCAGGGTAAGCTTTTAGGCACAAAAACCATGTTCTGGATTGACATACTTCAGTTAATAAGAACAGTTAGCCAGAAGCAGAACTACAGAAGCCAAAAAGCAAGGTTAGTACATTCAGAGACTTTCACAGAACTCTATGGATGTTGATGGATTAGGCCTTTGCTTTAGTTTTGGCAGGTGGTGCTGTCTGTGTGCTGAGTTTTACAGCCTGAATGGCACTTCCATCATGGAGTCAGTTGTTCTAAGGTCTCAGGGCCTTCTAAGGTCTGGGGCCCTGTTACAAAAAACACATTGAGTACTGTAACGGCTGAACTTTTAAAGGATATATTTTGAAAAATTTAAAATAAGCATAAAAAGATAAGTCATCTAAGACAACAGCTAATTAAAGAGAAATAATCAATTGGATAACCTGTTATGGTGATGATCCTATTAGTTCTGACATTATTTCTTTTTAAATTTATTGTGTGTGTGTGTGTGTGTGTGTGTGTGTGTGTGTGTGTGTGTGTGTAGAGAGAGAGAGAGAGAGAGAGAGAGAGAGAGAGAGAGAGAGAGAGAGAGATCTTGCCATGTACAGAGGACAACTTTGCAGAGTTTATTCTCCTGCTTCTATGCACCAGCAAGAGTCTTGCTACCCACCCAGCCATCTTGCTGGTCCCAACATTCAAGATTTCTAAGACTCTTAAGTTTTCGTTACCAATGGCACCATCCACAGCTCTAGCTGTTACTCATCATCCACACATCTCAGAATCTCAGTCCTCATGGATACCATGTTCCCTAAATCCTGGTGCCATGATTAAATGAAAATCACATAAAGCATGTAAAGTCTTTGTGAAGTATGAAACTGCATGTGGTTGTATTAGAAGAATGTCCTCAACAAGCCCAGTATAAACACTGAGCTCTGCTGCAGGCATAACTTGTTAAGCTCTGTTTAGCATTCCTTTTAACAAGAAGATTATTTTATTCAAGTGTTTTGCCTACATGTGTGTAAGTATACTGTGTGCACGCATGGTGCTGCTGGAGGTCAGAAGGGGGAATTAGATTCCCTGGAAATGGAGTTATACATGGCTGTGAGGTGCGATGTGGGTTTGGGAACTGAACCTGGGTCCTCTGCAAGAGTCTCCAATGCTCTTAACCGATGAGCCACTTCTCCAGCATTGCTGAATTTATGTAATGACAAACTACTCTATTGTTTTTAATGCTACACAAGCTTGACAAGCAGCAAGATATAACAATGATATCAATTCCTTTATTCATGCAAACCTTATGTGGCTCACATTGTCCGTAAACTGTATACACAGCTGAGGACAATCTCCTCACTGATACAAGATCTCATGTAGTCCAGGATGGTCTTGAACTTGTTAAATAGTCAAGGATAACTTTGAACTTCTTGTCCTCCTGCTTCTACCACCCAAAATCTAGGATTAAAGGCATGCACCATCACACCTGGTTTGTGATACACCAAGAATAGAACTCAGGACATTGTACATTGTACTCTTGCAACTGAACTACACCCCTGGTTATCTTACACTTCTCATCCTCCTGCCTCCACTTTCTGAGTGCTAAGAATTGCCAGTATACCTACTTTATGTGGTTCTTGGGACCCAGGGCATCTTGCAGGCTAAGCAAACACTCTACTAATTGAGTTATATTTCCAAGCCAGAAAGTATTCATGTCTTGAGACAAGGTTCCCTATATAGCCTAGGCTGGCCTCAAACTCACAATCGTTTCCTGTATGTCTTGAGTGATAAGACTATAGGCATGTGCCACCACATCTAGTCTACTTTACTCTTATAAGAGCCTACTATATAGATATCATATCATCTCAAATTCTCTTAAATGGTTAGTGAGTGAGCAAAAGTTTGTACTTTGGTCAGCCTGGTAACAACTTCAAAGCACAATGGTAGGACCAAGCTAGCATGTTCTAGGAGCGAAGGACCAGATTTCAACTGCTGTAGCATCTGTTCTTTCTCCAAGGCTTACTTATCTTTTGTTAGCTTATTTTTTGAGGTTGTTTTGTTATGTCACCCAGGCCGGTCTCAAACTCTCACCTATCCTCCTGCCTCAGCCTCCTGAGTGTTGGGATTACAAGTATACACCCGTGTGGGAGACCTGCTCCCATTTTTAACCCAGGGTAGTCTTGAGGAGGGAGAAGTGAGAAATATTTAGATAGAAGTATAGAGGGGAGAAAGAGCTAGAAACACAGGATAGCTTGGGAGGGCCCGAATCCCTATCCGCCGGCCCCTCCTCCCTCTTCTAAAGGGCTATTTATAGGAGTGTCAAGGGGTGGAGCAAAGACTGCCCCCTAGTTCAGCCAGCTGTAGACCCTTCCAATCACGTGGTAACCATGCACATGGTCAAGCAATCTTCTAATGCAGCCCTGCTGGGTAAAGCAAGCTCCGATCTCACTAGGAAACCTTTGTGGGTTTCCACACACCCGATTCCAGGTACTTACCTATCTTGACCCGGATATCCAGGCCTTCTTCAACCTCCTTGGCCTCAAACAAGCCGTGGATCTCCAGGCTGCACTTTATCACCACTGTGATGATGTTTTTCAGCTGCTTCCGTTCCACTTTCCACAGGGCCAGCAGTGCGTCACCTTGGAGAGAGACACTCTAGGGGCTTTAGTCCTAACCTGGAGGTCAGTGCATTTTGCATGAACATTACACAAGCTTCAAACATTTTTCAACCCATTCCCTGGCCACGGCTCCCTGAGGTACCTTCCTTTTTAACAGGGCAGGCACCTCAGTTCTTCTTTCCTACCCTTCCCGTCTCAGTCGGCTTCCGTACCTGCAAATTTTAGGATGTCTCCTCCAAAAATCAGCACTTCTAAAAAAAGAAAAGACAGAAGAAACATCAAACTGATTCTTTAGTATTACTCGTTAGTGAAATAGAAGTGGTTTGTGAACATGGTTGCACATGCCTGTCATCCTAGCACTTGGGAGGCTGAGGCAGAAGGATACGGTGAGTTTGAGCTCAGATGGGGCGACATAGCTAGACCTTAGACCCTGCCTCAGAGGCAGCTAGCTAGCTAGACCGGAAGAAAAGTAGAAACAGGGTAGTGAGAATGCAGTTCAGAGAATACACTTCTATCAAACACGACATCTCACGACTTCCATGCAGGCCTGCCTCCTCAGCTGCAGGACAGTGAGTCCCGCAACCAACCTGTGTCTGTGCTCTAGAAAACCAAAACCAAAACCAGGAACAGGAGGGCAGAGTTCCCCCACAAGACCAAAGAATACTTGCCCTCCTCCCAGTGTAGAAGAATACTGCCGGCCAGCCTTTACGGGAGCACAGGCCTGTCAGTGAAGGACGAGACTCCAGGAGAACAGGAGATAAGGAAATGGCTCTATTGGTTGCCATTTGTTTTAGCAATTTAGACTATGAATGTAAGTGGAGATTTGTGTTTGCTGGTTTGGTCTTAGTGTTGGGGAGGAACACAGGGCATGTTAGGCAAGATAGGCCTTAAAGGACCCCCCACCTCACGCACACACACTCACACACCTGCCCCTGCACACCTCTTAGTTTGAACAATATCCCACAAAATTCTGAGTGCCTGCTGTGCCAAGTGGGATACAAAGACAAATTAGATGCCCTTTCTGTGATTTGTTTTCGAATTTTCTTTGTGTGTGTGTGTGTGTGTGTGTGTGTGTGTGTGTGTGTGTGTGTGTGTATGAGTGCATTCATGTGAGTACCTACAGAGGCCAGTAGAAATCACTGGATCCCCTGGAATTGGAGTTATGAGCGGTTGTGAGCTGCCCAATGTGGGTGCTGGGAATTGAATCTTCTATAAGAGCAGCAAGCACTTTTAACAGCTAAGCCCTCCCCAGTCCTTCATTTTATTTGTGATTGGGTCTCACTGTGCAACACAGGCTCACCTAAACCTCACTATGTAGCCTAGACTGGATTGGAACACATAACCAACCATTCTCCAGACTCAGCCTCCCAAGTGCTAGGATTGCAGAGGTGAGCCACCACCTGATCTCCTCTCTCTCCTCTCAGGGCCTCAAGCATGTGTTCATGCTGGAAAAGTACTCTACCAGTGAGTTTTTGGGGGTTTTGAGGCAAGTCTCATAACAGGCTAGCTGGAAGTCACTGTTTTCTCAGGTAGCCTCACATTTATCTTCCTTCTACCTCTGTTTTCCCAAGTCTTGGAGTTACAGGTTTTGTTTCTACTTTTAGGGAGCATTAGCCTGGGGCTAAAGAGATGTCTCAGTGGTTAAGAGCTCTGACTGCTTTTCCAGAGGACCAGGTTTGATTCCCACATGGCAGCTCACAAGCATCTGTAACTCTAGTTCCAGGGAATCTGACACCTTCTTTTGGCCTCTGCAGGTACCAGGCATGCATGTGGCTCACAGATGCAGACACAACACCTATACACAAAATAATAACTTTTAAAAAGAACATTAGCCTAGATACAGTGGCTCATTCCTATAATCTCAGTATTGGGATGCCGAGGCAAGAGGATTGACTGCCTTGAGTTCAAGGTCTTATCTGTATAAAAAGTTCCAGGCCAGCCTTGGCCATAGACTCAAGTCTTTAACATAAAACATACTTTCTCTCATGTAGTCTTATTAGTGAGGCTGATCGCATTCATTTAGTTGTATTATAGCATATTAAGAGTACTGATGACTGCCCCGGTTTGTCTTTTCTTGCTGTGATAAACACCCTGACTAAAAGGACTGTGAGAGGAAAGGGTTTTAGTTTCTACCTTATAGTTCATCATGAAGGAAAGTCAGGGCAAGAGCTCAAGTAGGAACATGGAGGCAGGAATTGAAATGGAAACCTTGGAGGAGTCTTGCTTATTGGCTTGTTCCCATGGCTCACCCAGATTGCCTTTTTTTTATACAACCCAGGATCACCTGCTCAGGGGTAGCAGCACCCACAGTGGGCAGGGAACTCCCACATCAATTATCAATCAAGAAAATGTCCCACAGACTCGTCAACAGGCCAATCTGAGGGAGGCATTTTCTCAATCGAAGTTACTTCTCTGCTGTTGACTCCAGCTTGTGTCAAGTTGACAAGACAAGACAAAACACTACTAACCAGGAGGATGGCATATATATTTCCTGGACACAAATATGCAGAATTCTAAGTCACTGTACTCTACTCTTCAAATACCGGCAAAGCGACGATTTGAAATACTCTCCAGCGAAGCCCACGAGAACACTTACTCTCCACTATAGCACTTATGTAGTAGTTGAGGATCTCCACCAGCTGCTCGGCCCCTCGGTCCATGTACATGGCTGTGCTGAACTTCTCAGTCATTGCAGTAAAACCTGTAAGAAACTGCAGTTGGCTTCCTGGGAGTCAAGCAGAGCCAGCAGAGGACTCCACTGGCCCGAAAGGGGCCCCACTAAAAGTGGCTGCGCTTCAGATGACCTTTGTGTGTCTGATCAGGCATTAGCCATGCTGCACTTAATAGGCTTGCGATCAGGAGAAGTCATCTTTTCTTTCTAGGTTCCTAGTGTATACAGTGATAATGGCATCTTGTTGGAAATGCAAGATTTTGTTCCATGGTTTGGAGGCCACACATTTTTCAAATTCTGAAGAGCCATGTTTTAGTATGAGGATGTGAAACATAGTAGATCATCTCCTGAATTTGTCAGTTCGCCAGGGAGGTGTGTGGGAATGGGGGACACGTGGCTGTGGAGTTGCGGCAGGAACTCTGGAGTCAGAAGTCCCAGATGGGGAACTTGAATGTCTTAAAGACATGCCTGTGACTGAAAGCTGGGGGAAGGGAAGATGAGAGACACCTGGATCAGGGGTCATTCTCTTTCCCGTATTGCACAGTGAGACTAGCTGCTGTAACAGCCTAGGGGTTTGAAAATGGTGTCCCCACTGCAATCACAACCTGCATGTGACTTCTGATGCGAGCATGCGGCTCAGCCGCATTAAGCAAGCATCCCTTTTGCACTTACCTGAAATATCAACAAACATCAGAACTCCATCAAAACATTTCACTGACGGCCGCTCCGGAGAGAAATCTCCATAGACAATGAGGTCTGGTAGGTGAGCTGCTATTTTGACGATGGCCCGGTCTTGTAACTCTGCCCTTCGAGCATTCATGTTCGAGGATAATGGTCAGGATTTTTCAGCGCCAGGAAGCTGTCCCCAAGTAAGTCTTCTAGAAACAAAAGTTGGAAAAGGAGGAAATCTAACGTGCACTTCGTTCTCTTTCCTATTTCGTTCTCTCCAGTGGCTTTTGTTCCACGCTGTGGATGGTTTACTTAAATGACTGAGTCACGGCAATGCCAGAGGCGGTGACACTCCCAAAAGGATCACTTCTCTCTCTCTTCCCCACCCCTTTCTTTTTGGGAGACGAGGCCTCACTACATGGACCTCATGGGCCAGCGACTCACTATGAAGACCAGGATGGTCTCTAACTTGTAGAGATCTGCTTGCCTCTGCCTGGAGGATCACTTTTTTATACAGAAGGAAAACCACCACAGACTAGACTGCCAACCCAAGCCTGAACAGCTATTACAAAAACGAGCGCACTCTGGAGGGCAGCGATGGGCCCATCCAGTTCCATGAAGGGGTAAGCTCCACTGGTGTGTGTGTACCAGGCTTTTTCTTTTTGGGGCTACCAACCAGCTCCCAAATCATGTCCCAGAGACTTATTATCAGTTTTGAATGCTTGGCCTAGCTTAGGCACATTTCTGGCTAGCTCTTTTAACTTAAATTAACCCGTTTCTCTTTATCTACCCTTTGCCTCAGGGTTTATTACCTCTCTTCTGTTTATCTCACTTTCACTGCTTCTCTATGTCTGTCTGGCTGGCTGCCTGGCTTCTTGCCCCGGGCATGCCCCTCGTTCTCTCCTCCTTTTTCTCTTGTTCTTCCTTTTCCAGTCTAGAACTTCTCCTATTTATCCTCTCTGCCGGCCAGCCCCGCCTATCCTTTCTCCTGCCTAGCTATTGGCCGTTCGGCTCTTTGTTAGACCAATCATGTGCTTTAGGCAGGCAAGGTGAAACAAATGCAACACATCTACACATAGTTAAACAAATGCAGCAAACACAAAAGTAACACACCTTTACACCGTTAAAGGAACATTCTGCAGGATAAACAAATGTAACTCATCTTTGCCCAGTTAAATAATATTTTACAACAGTGTGGAGGACAGTAGCACTGTTCAGTCTAGGCAGACTCCACTTCCTTTTGTCTCTTTATCCTTCATTAGGGTATTAGGTTATTATCTATAGGCAAGAGGTTAAGTAAATTAAGGTATGATAAACGGAGAGTGAGAGAACTCAGAAGGGTGGGTGTGGGCACGCAAGTGACAGTTGGAAGGCTGAAGGCCTTGAAGCTGTAAGTGGGAGGATATGTTGACATTCCCTTTTACTGCTAGTTGGCTCTAAGAAAGTTAGTATTGACTAAGACCTTCCTTTAGGTGTGGACATCAAATGCTCAAACTCAAGTGAGGTTAAAAGAAAAAAAATCTCTGGCTGAGTGTGGTGGACTATGCCTGTAATCCCAGCACTTGGAGTAGTAGTGACAGAGGCAGGAGGATCACCATGAGTTTCCTGACAGCCTGGGCTACAGAGTGAGACCCTGTCTCAAACAAACAAACAAACAAACAAACAAACAAACAAACAGAGTTCCCATCTCCAGCAAGGATTCCTTGGGAACCCACCTGCCACACAGGGCAGGGAAGCAGGTAGGCTAACTTCAAGTCTTCACCTCTCACTCCTCTCCTCCAAATCTAAAACCTCAGTCTCACCCCTGCCCCTCCCACTGGGCACTAGACCACCTGCTTTGGTCTCCCCTCCCTCTCTGCCCCCATCTCCAGTGGATCACATGGATTTTCTCCACTAACCTTCCTTCCCCCCAACTCATCCCCTACCCCAGCCCCCATCTCCGGCAGGATTGATTTCCTAAGAACTCTCAGGTGAAGCCTGCCAGAGAAGCAGGCAGGTCAATGAAGCAGGTAGGCAAATTTCAGACCTTATAACACTCCCCGCTTTTCTCCAAATCCAATCCCCTAGTCTCATCACCAGCTCTTCAACAGACCACCCGCTGTGGCCTCTCCTCACTCTCTGCCCCCATTCCCAGGGGACTAAGCAAATCCTCCTAGAACACCCTGCTTCCCTCCTTTCTGTGGACCCTCAGCCATTCTAGCCCATCCCCATTCCTAAGTAACGGCTCCCAATATCTAGAAACACAATGTACCAGGGACCCCCAATGACTACACCTATCAGGACCCCAGAAGACTTTTCTACCAGGCAATACACATCTACCACACTCTCCTAAGAACCAGAGAAGGAAACAGAAACCAAGGGACAAAATACCTACCCAAAAAAGACCAGACCAGATATCAGCACCTAGAATTACAATCTTCCCAGTAACAGTTAGGACAGTATGTCTCCGCTAGAACTGAGCAGCCCTACCAGAGGCCTTGAATATTCCAACATAGCAGAAAGCACGAGGAAAAGGCCTTAAAACAGTTTTTATGAATATGATAGCAGTCCTTAAAGAGGAAATAAATAAATCCACGAAATAAATCTGTGAAAACACAAACAAGCAGTAGAAGGAAATGAATAAAACAGTTCAAGACCTGAAAGTGGAAACAGAATCAATAAAGAAAATCCAAACTGAGAGAAATCTGGGAATAAAAAACTTGAACAGGAACCTCAGAGGCAGGCCTCTATAGTGATAATGTGTCCCCCAATATATTGTGCACCCTAATAAACTTATCTGGGGTCAGAAAACAGAACAGCCAGTAGATAGACATAGAGGCCAGAAAATGGTGGCACACACACCTTTAATCCTATTACTTGGGAGGCAGAGATCCATCTGGATCTCTGTGAGTTCAAGGCCATACTAGAAACAGCCAGGTATGATAACACACATCTTTAATCCCAGGAAGTGATGGCAGGAAGCAGAAAGGTATATAAGGTGTGAGGACCAGGAACTAGAGGCTTTTAAGTTTTTAGGCTTTTTAGCAGTAGTTCAGCTGACATCCATTCGGATGAGGACTCAGAGGCTTCCAGTTTGAGGAAACAGGATCGGCTGAGAAGTTGTCGAGGTGAGGTTGGCTGTAGCTTGTTCTGCTTCTCTGATCTTTCAGAATTCACCCCAATTGAGCATTGAGGTTTTTTGTTGTCTTTTTTTTTTTTTATTAATAAGACCATTTAAGATTCACGCTACAGGCCTCACTAACTGAATACAATAGATGGAATAGAGAATCTCAGGCACTGAATACAAGATTGAAGGAATAGATAACTCATTCAAAGAAAATGTTAAATCTAACAAACCCTAGACACAAAATATCCAGGGAATCTGCAACACTGTGAAAAGGCCAAACCTTTGAATAACTGGAATAGAGGAGGAGAAGAAACCCAGGTCAAAGGCACAGAAAATATGGAAGGAGGTGCCTATCAAGTATAAGAAGCACGCAGAACACCAAATAGACTGGACCAGAAAAGAAATTCTACTTGGCATATAATTGTCAAAATACTACATGAACAGAACAAAGAACGGATATTAAAAGCTTCAAGGAAGAAAGACCAGGTAACATAGAAACACATAAAACTTTTAGAATAACACTGACCTCTCAATTGATGCTCTAAAAGCCAGAAGGGCCTGGACAGATGTGCTGAGACTCTAAGAGATCCAAGATGCCAGCCCAGACTACTCAGCAAAACTTTCAGTCACCATAGATGGAGAAAAAACACATTCCATGATAAAACTAAATTTAAGCAATATCTATCCACAAATTCTGCCTTTAGAAGACACTAGAAGGAAAATTTCAACCTAAAGAAGCTAATCACACCCAAGAAAACAAGGAATTAAAATTCTGTACCAGCAAACCAAAGGTTGGGGCAGCGGCGGTGGGGGGGGGGGGAGCACCACAAGAACAAAGTAACAGGAATCAACAAATCAGCAAACTCTGCTCATCAAGATCCCCCAGCATCAATGGTCTCAGTTCCCCAATAAAAAGACATAGACCAACAGAATGGATGTGAAAACAGGATCCATCCTTCTGCTGCATTTGAGAACCACACCTTACCAGGCAGTGGTGGTACACCCCTTAAATCCCAGCACCTGGGAGGCAGAGGTAAGCAGATCTCTGTGAGTTCAAGGTCAGCCTGATCTACTGAAAGAGTTCCAGAACAGCCAGGACAACACAGAGAGACCCTGTCTCGAACCTCCCTCCCCCCACCAAAAAAAAAAAAAAAAAGAAGAAGAAGAAAAGAAACACACCTTAACATTGGGATAGATATCACCTCAGGGTAAAAGGATGGAAAAAAAGAATCCAAGTAAACATAGCTAAGTAGCAAGCTAATGTAGCCATTTCAATATCTGACAAAATAGATTTCAAATCAAAACTAATCAGAAGGAATAGGAAAGGACACTACACACTCATCAAAGGAAAAATCCACCAGTAGGACATTGCAATTCCTAACATCTATGCACCAAACACAAGGGCACCCAAGTTCACAAAAGAAACACTACTATAGCCTAGATCACATATTGATCCTCACACACTGATAGTGGGTGACTTCAATACCCTGTCTTGCAAATAGACGGGTCATCCAGACAAAAACTGAACAGAAATACTGGAGCTAACTGTCATCATAAACCAAATGGCCTAACAGCTTTTTACATCCAAATTATTATTTTATCCAAATACAAAAGAATATACCTTCTTCTCAGCACCTCATGAAACTTTCTCCAAAATTGACCACATACCCAAACACCAAAAAAGACTCAGTAAATACAAGAAAATTTTAATAACCCCCTACATCCTATCTGACCACCACAAATTAAAGCTGGATATCAACAGAAAGCTTACAAATTCATAGAAACTGAACAGCTCACTACTGAATGAAAAATGGGTCAAGACAGAAATAGAAAACCTTCTAAAACTGAATGAAAATGAAAACACAAGGTACCCAAACTTATGGAACACAGTAAGGATGGTTCTGAGAAGCAAGGTCATAGCACTAAGTGTCTACATAAAGAAATTGAGGACTTCTCGTACTAGTAATTTAATAGAACACCTGAAAGATCTAGAACAAAAAGGAGTAGACAGCAAGAAACAATCACACTCAGGGCTTAAATCAATAAAATAGAAACAAACAAATAATACAAAGAATCTATAAAACAAAGAACAGAATCTTTGAGAAAATCAATAAGCCTGAGAAACCCT